ATTCGATTGTAAGCATAGCACTATTCTATTTTTTAAATAATTAAAAATGCTATAGTAAAAATGTTTTATAACTAAGTTTTGGTAAAATATAAGTGAACCTGAAAAAACATTTAAAATGTTTAAGGATAATTTATGTACTTTTTACATGAAATATTTGTGCTTTTAAAATCAAAAAACTTTTTTGTTAAAAACTTTCAATTATTTTAAATGAACTTTCTAAACCAGTCCTACAAACATTTTTGTGTTTGAAATAACTTAGTCAATCAAATATTTTTGTTATGTAATTAGCCATATGACATGGAAAAATTTAGCTCAATTGCTTAAAAAAATAAAATAAATTTGAATCATGTTGATTAAAACACATAATATTCTAATATACTTTAGCATATTCTTATTACAAAAATTCCTAAAAAGTGAAAAATAAAATATTTAAAAATATTATTAACCATGGCCCGAATATGAATAATGGAGGCCCAAACTCAAATAGTTTTCTTACTGGGTAGATTATTTGAGCTCGTCAACTACTTAGAGATCCATAAATATAGTAATACAACACCCCAGAATTATGCTCATCTTCTTTCTGCAAGAACTAAGAAATGAGATTACGCTCATAATTCCCATTAATTCTGGATTAAAATTGTATAGCAAAAAATAATCCTAAAAATTATGGATCTGACACATGGATTATTTTTCAAAAAAGATAAGATTGCCCCTTATTAAATGAGCAGAAAGCATTCTCATTCACCACACGTAGCTGAGATAGAGCAGGCAGAGAATCATGATTGCTGAAGGCACCCTTGCCCGTAGCAAAAATAAAAAGTATTTATGATAGAATAATTCCTTATTTCTATTCTATCATAAATACATTCATAATCAGAGAAAATTTCTTCAAGTAATCCTAATTCCATTAATTTAGACTATTTACCTAATTACTCCAAAATATTTATTTATACAAATATTTTGAAATATTCCCACTAAAATGCCACCCTAAAGCTGGCCACTCATAAACCTTAGAGGGCTGGCCCTTGTCCCTCTTCTCTTCATCTCCAAAATTCATGACTCACAAACTCTCAAATATATTCTTTTTAGAATTTTAACTTTGGCATTAGAGATTTTTGGCCCCCATTCATCGTGGGCGGCATTTCATAGGTTCGAGTCGTGAAAACAACATTTTGCAAATAAAAGGTAAGGGTGTGTACAATAGCAATTTTCTCCAACTCTCACAAAACGCATAACTTTGTTGGCTTAGGATCGTCCTTTATCTTTGGTCATGAAAATCTACAATTTGATACATCAATGTGCAAAGAATGTTCATACTCATAGTTCTTATTGTCCCTCATGTACATATTTAACCAACTCAATTCATGAAGAAAAACTTTGTTATGATGAAATATCCCGCTTTCTCTCCACCTCACATAATGAGTGATATACATTACATGTAAGAATTTTCAGAGTTTACGACTCCTTTTGGGATTTGTTTGAGACTATATAAAAGAACATGCTGATAAGCAGGAGAAAGTTTTTAGTGCTTTGGGAATATGGTTTAGTACATTCATTGTCATAATATAAGTAATTAAATGCTCAAAAAAATAATTCAGCTACTTGTATTATGATACTTAATGTACTGATCCGTGCTCTAGACACACTAAAAAATCTTTCGTAAAGAGAGTCAGGGGATACATTTTTGTATATTATCTTACAAAATTAATTGTCATATTTTTGTGTTTTCCACATTTGCGAGCTTTATCTATTTTTCCCTTTGAATATGACATCTCATCCACCTATACATTTATCCGAAAGAAAACAGAAAGAAAGCAAATACATCGAGAAAAGCATGCTCTTGAAGCATCCACGCTCATATGCCCAAAACGCACATGCTTGTTAGGCATTATTGATAGCCCACTTTTGGTGACGTCGGCGCTTCCATCCACTTGGTCGGATAAATTTTAAATTCGACTCACGAAGATACGATGGCTATATATATTTATAGCTAGTGAGTTGGATATTAATTTAATTTGTCAATAATTAAAAAAAGAGATCAATCAATGACTTCGATATTGCAGTTCATTTTTTCGAGGATTGAATAAATTCACAGAGGTATTTTAGCATTCCATGCTCACCATCGTGTGATTCACCAAAATCAGGAAATAAACTTAGGACGTGCCATGTAAAATACGAGCCTGAAATTCGTCGACAACCACTAAATCACCCCGTGATGGTTGGCATTTGACAAGTTTCAAGACTCCTGCCTATGTAGAAACTCTACTTATAATCCAAACAAGTCATTGTTACCAAAGAAAAAAAAGAGAGAGTAAATGTAAGATTAACTAGTTTAACAATACGTTAATTTTGAGATCCGACTCTAAAGCAGTGCATGTTGCGTTACATCTCGATCACCACTTTAAGATCGAGATGTCGCATAAAAGTAGACCCGGAATGATGCCAATTAATCATGAACAATCTATGTTCAAATGGCATCCACATATTTCAGAAAATTATAGAAAGTGAAGTGTCCCCGTTTTGTGCAGCTACACCTCGCTTTCCTTTTGTTCGTGGCATCTCGTATGCTATCCGATTTGCAAGACTTTTTTTTTTTGGCAACCGATTGTTTTCTACAATATTCGGATAATAAAGAGTTATTACGTCAATGTGGTAACACAGCCAGACAGTAAAAGTAATTTATTTTTATAATAACATGTGAATTGATTATCAGATATTATATATCAAGTGCGAACTCATTCCATATTATTGAACATAAATCTCACATTTATGAGAAAATGGACCTTACATGTGCTTCTAAATAGGTGGGTTGCTTCATATATTGCCAATTAGTTGTATAGTAGAACCTCAACTTTTTTTATGGTATCAAAGCTAGTTGTTCCACGTGTGAAGTTCAATGGCTACTCATACTCCTCGTCACCCAACTTGTGCTTATAAGAAATTGGGTTACTTCTCATATTGCCAATTGGTTTTATGGAGGAATGTCAAATTTCTTCACATATATATAGAGTAAATTGTACAAATGGTCCCTCAACTTTAATCAAATTGGAGCAATGGTCCCTCAACTAAAAATCCATTACCATTGGTCCCTCAACTTATCAAAATGTGTAGCTATAGTCCTTTTCATCAATTTTGTCAAAATTTTGTCAAAATAAGTTATGTTGGAATGACCATTTATATAATTAGGGTCCCTCAACTCATCAAAGTGTATAATTATGGTTCTTTTCGTCAACTATGTCAAAAAATTTGTCAAAACGAGTTATATTATAAGGACCATTGCTACAATTAGATTAAAGTTAAAGGACCATTTCTCCACTTGAATTAAAGTTCAGGGACCAATGGTAATGGATTTTTAGTTGAGGGACCATAGCTGCACGTTTTGATAAGTTGAGGGACCAAAGGTAATGGATTTTTAGTTGAGGGACCATTGCTCCAATTGAGTTAAAGTTAAGGGACCATAGCTACAATTTACTCCATATATATAATACAAAGCAAATATATTATGGATTATTCTTAGCTATGCTCTATGAAACTTGATTTTAATCTCACTTTGCTCTCTGTAACTTAAAAGCTGCCACTTTGCTCCCTAAAACTCAAAGTTCGCTCTAATTTCTATTTGGAACTCAATCTTGATCTCATTTTGCACCCTGAAACATGAGAATCTTTCTATAAAACTCAAAATTTGCTTTATATTGTCTTAGATCTGTTAATTTCTTATGTGAGTTTGATTTGGGTGCATCGGGCTAATCAACTATTTTTTATTTTTTTTCATCTCTTCAAATTTTTTAATTTAAATATTTTCTAATTATTGAATGTTAACGAATAATGGAGCTTTATTATCAAATTTATTGCACACGTGACATTTTCTTATTGAGTATTAGATTTCATATGTTTGAAGATGCGACCTATAAATTTTAGAAAAAAGAAAGAGTCTATAAGTTAAAATGAAATAAAGTTTGAATTAGTAGCAAAATAAAATCGAAATAGCTAAAATTAAGACATTAATTAATTATACAACTTAACTATTTTCTACTTCTGTTGTTTCTTTTCTAGAATTTAGAAGAAGGGGGCGATAATTAAATGTTTGGTCCAAATTTTTAACAACGAAAAAACGCGTATTCAAATTGATAAAGTTTCATCTACAGGCATTTCTTCCTCGACAATAACAAACAGAAAAAATTGATTTGACTTGGTATAATTGTTCTGTCACATCTAAGTTTTTGACATGATTAACAAGCAAATTATAAAGGAGTATGGTTCTCTTTATTCTTGTTACCATTCATTTTCATCTCATCCTCTTACATTCTTCTTTTTATTTTATTATCTATATAAAAAATTCAAAACAAATTATAAGCGTGACGTAATTGCAACCGTTTGAATAGAAAGATGAAAGAGGAGAGAGATTAAAAGGACAGAGAATCATACTCTAATTATAGAAGATCAAAGCATCACATTTGTTGAATTTTAAATCAAAATTTCCCCTAGTAAGGCAAAAAATATGAGCAAAATGGCCATTATATTTCTTCTTTGGCAAATTAATTAAAAGAAAATTTAAACCTAATTGATTGGTTTAAAAATTTGCCAGATGGGACTCCTCCACTAATCCGTTTATTTAAAAATCCCCCAAATATTTTCACTAAAAAATCCCCAAAAATTAAGCTGTCACCAAACTAACTTAAATTACAATTCAACCCTTCGTTAAGCATCCACAGAAAAAGATAATATTATTCACATACTTAATTTTACTTCTTACACATCCTCTCAATTTTCGGTCATCATACCAAATGAATTGAAAAAATTTAATAATAAACAAATAATAAAAAATATATGAAATAAAAAAATAAATGTCTGAATAATACTATTCCACAAATAATCACACTCCATGCACATTAACGACGTTTGAAAAATATTAAAAAGACTTTCTCGAAAGAAGAACTCCCTGCCAAATTAAACCGCCCCTACCCCAGATGCGGTCATCACATATTCATCCACCACCCTACCCCACATGCAGTCATCACACATCAAAAGCTTTTCATGTACAAAAAGACAACATACCGCAGAACACACTCTCTCTCTAGCAAGAAAACCGAGCAGCCATCGGAATGTCGCCGGCAGCCGAAGCCCACGTGCCGCTGCTGCAGGACAGAAAGCCGGTGAGGCGGGGGTCTGTTTCAGGGGCGGTGTTCAACGTGTCCACGAGCATAATTGGCGCCGGAATCATGTCCATACCGGCCACTCTCAAGGTGCTTGGTGTGATACCGGCTTTTGTGCTTATTGTGATCATTGCTTTGCTGGCTGACGTCTCGGTGGAGTTCCTGATGAGGTTCACGCATTCCGGCGAGTCCACGACGTATTCCGGCGTCATGAGGGAGTCCTTTGGGCAGGCGGGATCGGTTGCCACACAGATATGTGTCATGATTACTAATCTTGGGTGCTTAATTATGTACCAGATTATAATTGGTAAGCTCCAATTAAAAATTCATATTACTCACATACGTCGTCGAGCTTGGTACAAAATTAGAAGGATGATTATTTTCTTTTGTTTTTCAGGGGATGTTCTATCTGGAAATGGGGCTGCCGGAGTAGGGCATTCCGGTGTTCTGCAAGAGTGGTTTGGAGTCCATTGGTGGAACTCACGTGAAATTGCCCTCCTATTCACGCTTATTTTCATCTTCCTGCCACTGGTTTTGTTAAGGCGAGTAGGTTAGTAAATTCACAAAAGTAAACCAACCCTTTTGTGCTAAATTTAAAACTTTTACTGCGTGAAATGATAAATCTCTATACTTTTTAGGGTTTTTTTGGCTAATTTTTTAATATTTAATTGGTGTTTTGCAGAGTCTCTGAGGTTCAGTTCAGCCATATCAATTCTTCTTGCTGTGGTTTTTGTTGGCATAAGTTCTGCCATGGCGATCTATGCAATCTTTGAAGGGAAAGTCAACACCCCAAGATTGTTACCAAGCTTGGGCAAACAAACCTCCTTCTTTGACCTTTTCACTGCTGTTCCAGTCATTGTTACAGCCTTCACTTTTCACTTCAACGGTAAGAAATGCACATTTTTAGGAATCGAACAGTTTACGATGTAGAACATATGGCGTAATGGATCAAAGAGAGTTTAGAGTCCAAACAATGTCAGCTTGAATCGGGATACGAAGCCAGGAATTTTCACATAAGTAGGCTATAATTTTTCTTTTTTCCGTTTAAAGAACTGTTGTGTGGTGCAACGGAAAGGTTGCTCCTTTGGGACTGAAAGGTCGCAGATTCGAGTTGTGGAAATAGTCTCTTTGTAAAGTAAGGGTAAGGCTACGTACAATAGAAGTTCCCCCACGACCCTCGCAAAGGAGCAACCTTGTGGTGAAATGGACTAATTTTATATCGGATTTAGGGTATGCTAGTTTCCGCTAAATAGGGTTAACTTCCTAAGAACTATCACTAGTAACCTAATTTTCTAAACACATTTGTGCCCGAGTTTAAGGGTGGCTCCGCCCTTGTATGAGCTTACGCATGTCAAGCTGCTCTTCAATCCATTCTACCATCTGTTCTACATCAATTTACTATTGTCATCTCAAACTTTGTAACCATTGCCTACTCTGATTGACTTCATGCAGTTCACCCAATTGGCTTCGAGCTTGGTAAGCCGTCTGATATGATATCAGCGGTCAGGATTTCACTGGTGCTCTGTGCAGCCATCTACTTCTCCATTGGACTGTTTGGGTACCTTTTGTTTGGGGATGCAATCGTGGCTGACATACTTGTGAATTTTGACAGAAGCTCAGATTCAGCAATGGGGGCAGTGCTGAATGATGCGGTTAGATTAAGCTATGCCCTCCATCTGATGTTGGTTTTTCCTCTCTTGAACTTTTCTCTGAGGGTAAATTTGGATGAACTGCTTTTCCCTCAAAAGCCGCTTTTGGCCGCAGATAGTAGGAGATTTGTGCTCCTCACTCTTGGCCTGCTGGTTTTCTCTTACCTGGCTGCGATTGCCTTCCCAAACATTTGGTACATTTTTCAGTTTTTGGGATCAACTTCTGCTGTCTGCCTTGCCTTCATTTTCCCTGGTGCGATTGTTCTACGGTACTCTCTCTATGCTTTTCATTTTATTAAACAATTGTCGTTTATGAAATTTAAACTCAGGCCTTGTGTAGGACTCCTAGAAGAACTAAAAGCACTTACCAAATCTTTTTTGGCTATGATTGATTGAAAAACTTGAAAAGTGTTGATGGGTCATTGAACAAGAATCAACTACTTTTACAGGAAGCATGTGAAATTTTAATAAAAATTTTCAACGTGTTTATGACAAAAGCGCTTATGAGCATAAGTGATTTTTGTAGTAGTATAATCGGCCCTCAGTCCCCAACAAGTTCAGATTAGGCGCCGTCAGACCAACTAGTGATATGTACTATCTTCATGTTCAAAAGAATGCTGAACTTGACATTCTTTTCTATTTGTGCAAATTGCAGGGATGTACATGGCATATCTACAGGAAAGGACAGGATCATGGCAACTGTGATGGTAGTCCTGGCAGTTGTAACAAGTGCAGTTGCCATTTCCACCAATGTATATAACTTTTTTGGGAACAAGTCCTAGTTGATTTTCCTTTTTCCTATTTTCCCCATTGTTGTTATACTTGGAATTAACGAAAGACTTGCCACAAAACCAAACGCAGTGGCGTTATAAAATTCATACAGCCTACCCACTTAGTGGGATAAGGCTTTGTTGTTGCAGCGATGTAGTTGAGCTGGCTTGTATTTTTGTGTATTATTCGTAGTGTTGCTTCTATAGAGTTCAAAGACATTCTCTATGTTTGTACCAAAAATGGATACAATTATTCTGGTAAAATTATTTACCAACTTTTGAAGAATCCGCCAAATCCCGGCATTTTACAGAGTTACTTTCATCGTCTATTGTTTGAGTATGCAACGTTTTCTGATCTCGAAACAGGGTTGTGCACTGGTGAAACATCCGGCGATCATTCAAATGAGTTAAAGCCAACTTTCTGAATTCAAAAACTCTATTTATTACATTTATAGGGAGAAAAAAGAAGGATACAGAGTATACACATCTATTTTTACAAATCGAAACATGGCGTTTTAGAGGTTGTGATGCAGTCGGTAATTGGAGATTAAGAGTTTAAAGACCTTGAAACATCTGCGGTTGGAAAATCGTACCTCAGATCTTGGAATCTTCTGAGTAAGCTTGACTTGTATTTCTCAATTTCAGCATTCTCCAGGGAATCCGGGCTAGATCTGATAACCGAGATTGCCCCAGCCTGGTGTAAAGCTCCAAGAGCTTTATCTGATGTTACAGAAGATAGATTAGACAACCAAAAGAGATAAGAAAGAACTGATTACGGGCTGGTTTGGTATTGCTGTGCTTTGAAAAAAAAAACTGCTTCTGTTGTGCTGTGAGAATAAGCTCATTTTTGCTGCTTGACGTTTTCAGCTTTTTTTCACCCAAAACTATGAAATAAGCTGTTTTTAAGTGTTTACCAAACACCATTTTGAGCTCAGCTTTTTTCTATACCCACTTTTATAAAAGAACCTCAGTACCAAACCAGTACTACGATAGAACGACTCTAGCATGTTTTCAGGGACATCTAAAATGCTTAGCATTTTTGCTTTCTAAACACTTCTATCGCATAATCTCCCAACAACTGTCTAAACATAACTGTCAGATCTTTTATCACCGCAATTATCAAATGTGCATACGCTTGCCGGTGTGTTACTCAACAGCTATATTGTTTCACAATATGAATGTAGGGTACAGATAAGATATGCTTCATAAATCTAGAGGTTTTAGGCTACGATATGCTGGAATCCTATCCTTCCATTCAGTACTAGCGATGTATGATGGCGGTTATCTTTAACATCCCCTAACTTTCAGTTGATACGCGCCTTTTCTAAAAGTGGAACAAAGTAGGGATAGACATAGGTGCACGGGGTACTAACTGCAATGTAAATTTCTAACCTGAAGGTGACAGAGCAGAAAGAGCTTTCAAAGCCTCCTTTCTTGTGCGGTCATCTTTAGCACCGCCCAACATATTCACCAGCTCTCGAGCACCACCCATCTCCACTATTTTCATCCTCCTTTCATCTGTAAATCAAAACAAACGAACCCTCAGTTTCATGCGCTACCCATTCAAAAACCTCGATACAAAAGTAAACATAAAAATTTACAACCCGATTTGGAGATCAAAGAAATGATCACCTATAACATGATGCAGCTCAAAGACAATGCAGTTTCATAAAACGACTACATCCAACCAGGCAACGGATATATTGAATGAACGAATTTCCTCGAAATGAAATGCTGACACAACGGAAAATAGAGCTACGAGAGTTACCATCAACCGCAAACTGAGCTAATCGAGAAGCCCCCATTCTCTTAAACAACGGATCCTTGACTGTCAACAACGACACGGACTGTTGCAACAAAGTATCACCTGGAAATGTAGTAAAATTCAAGAGCAATGTCAGGTGAAACCCGAAAATCGAAACCGCATAACAGGCAATTCTCATTATTTCATAAATTAATTAAGATGAATTAGCTAAAGATTAGAAACCCATATAAGGCATTATGTTGTAAGCTACGCAAGTTGCAGTCCCAGCAAATATCAGTTTCAACATCCACCCAATTTTTCTTTCAGCTTCCTCTTCAAGAGAGAGCTCATCTGCAATTCAATACCAGAATTCAATTTTCCTTCATTTTCTCAGCAACCAAACAACAAATTACGGAATCAAAGACAAAAGAGATGGGTAAACATTCGAATTACCTCTTCCGTTGTAAGTTGAGAAATTGCGGGAAGGCGCATTGCGCACCGGGTTTCTTGTACGGTAATACTTTGAATACTGATCACGAAATTTTCACATCACAATCGGAATAGGAGAAATTCGGACGAAGAAAAAGAGAATCGGAATGTTGGACGGAAACCAATTCGAAAAGGGAGCTTACAGTGGCGAGCTTGGATGCTAACGTGCGCATGGTGCGGATAGGTGAGTCCCCCGAAGCTCGGTGCGGCGGAACTGAAGAGCAGGTCCGTCCTTAGACGCCCGGGAAAGAGTAAAGGCCTAAGGGTCTGGGTCTGGGTCTGGTGGTTTTCTGTTATTTTTGGGTCTAAATACAGTGGCTCGTTTTACTAACCGTCCAAATAAAATAAAATTTTATTTTCTCTATTAATTCTCAAATATTTTAAGAAATTTCTAAACTATGAAAAAAATTTGAACTCAAATGCACAGAATTATTCGAACTCGAGTGCAAAAAAAGAGCATAATGTTCTGACCAAGGTCTACAATATCGATATTATCCCGATATTTCTATCGAAATTTCCGTGTTTTTGGACTACCAATATTTCCGATATCATCGATATTTTAGACCTTGATAGGAACTCTAAGTGGTACTAAGTCACTCATGTATCTTACCATGCAATGTATAAAGTGTAAAATATTGTACTAATTCATTATATATAAATGATTATGGTGTATTTAAACTTCTTTCATTAATTACAACATATTTTTTACACTCACAATGTTTGTCAGCTCGCTATATAATCAACTTAAATCAGTTAAATCCATCATGCAATGCATTTCCTTCCAATTTTTTGTGATAAACTAATAAATAATTGACTAAATAAACATCCTGCAAAGTTTCAATAAAAATTTCCAAGTTTTTCTTACAATTTCCGTGGTTTTTATTCAATTTTTATCAATATCTATAATATCCTGATATTTCCATTGAAATTTCCATGTTTTTGAACTACCGATATTTCCGATATCATCGATATTTTAGACCTTGGTTCTGACCAACATAACTAAGGCTGAATTCGAAAAAACAAGAAAACTTAACAATTTGATAAAGAAAATTAATTTGATCAAGAAAATTTGACTATATTCTTGCACGGAGCTTACAGTAACCAGGTGTATATTCTCCTTAAAAAATAAAAGGCTTTTTAACCAAAATGGTCTCTGAGATTTACATAACTCCTCACTTTGATCCCTGAGATTTAAAATCAATAAAAGTGGTATCTGAGATTGTCCGCCATCAATCATTTTGGTCTTTCCGTGAAAAATTATGTTAAATAAGGATCAAAATAACAAAAATTCTCTCAATTTAACAAACAATAGGCCAAAATGATTTGACAAAAAATTGAGGGTATTTTTGTCATTTACTCTAATTTAATGAAGATTTTTCATGAAATGACCAAAATGATTGATGATAAACAATCTCAAGAACCACTTCTATTGATTTCAAATCTTAAGAACCAAAGTGAGGAATTATGCAAATTTCAAGAACCATTTTGGCTAAAAAGCCAAAATAAAAATCCAGGTGCATATCCTCTTGTGCCAATTTAATCAAGAAAATTTGACTATTTTGTTATTATTCTCACATTCTAATTTATAATTATTTTTTGAGGTATTCATCAATTTCCCCCCTGAACTTGTAACTATTGGCCAATTTCCCCCCTCAACTTTAATTTTGGCCAATTTTCCCCCTCAACTCTCATAATTAGTCAATTTCCCCCCTCAACTTTAATTTGGCCAATTTCCCCCCTCAACTCTCATAATTAGTCAATTTACACCATACTGTTAATTCTTTAATTTGATCATAATTAAACAAGTGTGTGTAAGAAACTAAATAAGATGTATGTTAATCATTTTCCTATGTCTTTATCCTATTACAAATAGATTAAAATTTAGAATTTTACAATTTATCATAGATAATATTATTAGTCATAATAAATCAGTATGGAGTAATTTTATTTGATTTTTTACTATACAAAATTGATAACGAAAAGGATTGATGTGTACATTTTTGTATGTGAATACAATTTTCTTTATAAAAGTGAAGGCTAAGTTCAAGTAAATTGTGGAGAATCGAGCTTTAATGCAAAAATGGCTAGTCAATTCATAATTTTCGACTCCTTATTAAGAATAACACATTTTATTGAAATAGGTCTGATCCATGAGTTTAGGATTATTATTTCTTCTTCTACATGCTTTAAACCTGATTCATAACTTTTTCTTATAATCAACCCATATCACATACTAATTGTATTATGTTTTTGTACATTTTACCCTATATTATGCAGGTGAGTTTATATTAAATTTAGTACTTTGTTGGAAGTTATTAGAAAGATTGAAAGAAAAAAAATGAATAGATGGAAAATTAAAAAAAATTAACAGTAAAATGCAAATTGACTAATTATGAGAGTTGAGAGGGAAAATTGGCCAAATTAAAGTTGAGGGGGGAAATTGACTAATTATGAGAGTTGAGGAGGGAAATTGACCAAAATTAAAGTTGAGGGGGAGGAAATTGGCCAATGATCACAAGTTCAGGGGAGGAATTGATGAATACCTCTTATTTTTTTTCTAACTTCGTTGCAAATTTTACACGTAGGAGAATCTGCCTCATAACCGGATGTGTCCTCTCGTGCCTGTCGCTCTGATCACGTGACTACAGATGCACAAGAGATACAACTAAAGATAGCTAAGAAGCTCTCAAGAGACAAGCTTAGCTTAAATCACAAATTGAGTTCGTTTGCAACTGAAAAACCAAAAAGGCACTGGCATAATACATCTCTGTGTCGATTACAACTGGAGCTGTTTTAGAACTGAGAATATCCATGCGAAATACAAAAATTGATGACAGAAAGAGTGAGAGAAATAAGATAAGTATAAAACTTCTGAGCTCGACGGTCGAGCTGACAAAATCTGCTGATCTTCTCGAACCCGAACTAATGACTTTGAATCCATGCTTCATCTTGGTAAATCAAATCAAGAGAAAGGCTCTATTTCCTGTCAAAGAAGTAGAGAAATCTTTAAAGTTGTTTGCGATGAAACAAAGAACGAGTTTTTGAATAAAGTTCGGACGAAATCCAGTGAACCCTCAAAGAAACTTGGTTTAAGACACGAAGAGAAGATTGACAAACCTTTTGTTCGCTTTTGGCGGGATTAGTCCTCTTTTTTCGAGGCTCTTGAACCTATCATTGACAAGGGTGCAACAACCCTTTGGGGGAAAAAAAGAAAAGCAATAAGACTTTCGTTTAGTCTTATCTGAACACAAAGAATAAGAAAGTGGGAAAATTTTGGCAACAAAGAGAAGTGCAGCGTACCTTAAGCTTCCGGATGGATCCTGATATCTCTTCAGTCAAGAGGACTTGAACTGGGGCAGGCTCGAACCTGTAATAGAAGGATTATACATAGGAAGGTAAACAAACTATACTAAATGTGTGCGTGTGAGAGGGAGAGTATTGTTTAAGACATACTTATGCTTCCCCAATCGTGGGGGACATGACTTGAGTTTCTTGTTTAGCTACAACTCGTCGAAGATGTCTTTTATGCCTCTCCTCATCCTCTTTCGCTATTTCTTGAATGATATCTGGTAAGCTGTGACCAAAGGGCAAGGCAAATATTAGAATGTAATCTTCACCAGAGTACTGTAGAGACAAAAGTTGTGTAAGTATATTACCCATCAATTTCTTTGGAAAGCTGCTTCGCCTGTCTCGCTTCTGCTTCCTTTTTAAGCTGTTCTTTACGCCTAGCTCTCTTATTTAATACAACTGTTGTCACCCTCTTTGTTTTTAAAGGCCTGCACCATGTTTTTTTCAAGCAATGTGAGCTAATGGCATTTAGTTTTGATGACCTTATAATGCATACAACAGAATATTACCAATTATCAAACAAAAATTGGGCTCACATTTTCTCGGATGCAGCATCCCCATTCTCATCCAAATTTTCTGGATTCATATTGTCATCACTGCCTTCATCTGCCTCAAGAAAATACATCTAAAAAAGTAGATTGGCAGTCTAAGATTCTCATTTATGAATATAAAAATTAGAGTAATATATAAAATAGAAAATACTTGTCGTTATGACTCCTTGTCCATCGTGTTTTGTACTTCTCTTTTTCTCTCTTTCCCAAAGTTCTTGTTTCTTATCAAAACAATTGTTAAGATTCCTAGTTATATTCTTTATACCAAAAACAATTTCATTATCCAAGACAACTATTTTTTTTTTATGACGTGTATGTAAAGCTCTACACTAAGACCAGTGATGACTAATACATGAAAGGAACAAAAGATACTCACTTCTTCTTCGTCAACAGCCTCTCCAGGAACAGTTAGAGGAACTGGTTGAGGTCCAAGCTCTTTTTTATAGACTTTCCCCATTTCTTCTGCAACAGCATGAGCCAATGTTTCCTGGATTGACGAAAGAGGCAAAGATGAGAAAATTTTATGCCATACAAGCCAAAAGGTCTACAAACAAAAAACGTACTAGATGAGTGATATTAAAAAATTACCTGATGACTTTCAAATGTGGGATTGAATGAGGATCCTGGAGGCTCAACTTCTACAGCAGGAATAATTGATGGCTTCCTCGTCTTAAAAAAATTCAATAAACATATATCAACTAACAGCTATGCAATGTTAGCAAAAACAGTGTCTATTCAAACAATAACACAGCATCCTAGTGCTGCTTCGGAGTCTATATGACTCCCACATAAGATGTGATCCATGACACATCTTATTATCTATAATTATGACTTGGTGGTCAGAAGTTGCATTTTAGTGTGCTCTTCACGCATTACCAGAATTGGAATTTGAGTTACAGAAACAGAAAAAAAGGAAAAAAAAACCAATATGAACAATAACATGATCACATTCTTGAACTTAAACAATGAGCCTTACCTTCTTGGTTTTTTTGTTGTCATCACCTGCACAAGAGTTAAAATACAGTCAATGCAGTGCACAGAACCATGTATGAAAAGAAATAACAGCAGTAAAATAGTGGAAAGAATGCAATAGATGTTAGGGTTGAGGAAACCTGTATAGCCCCATAAGTCAGCCATGCCAGAAGATGAGACAGAACGCTGCCAGATTCAAACTAAAATTAATACCAAATCGCTAGAACTAGATAACGTCTGCAGGTTTACATTTTATAATATAACAACTGACCTCAGGACTCCATTCAGATTCATCTATTAGTTCTGGAACCTTTTTATGTGCTTTCTTAGATTTCTTCAGAGTTGAAGAAGGCACTGGTTGTACAAATGGGTTTTTCTGTAGCATGCTCTCAACATGGAGTACTTTCTGTCTGTGCTTTTCAATCTTCCTCTTCACCGAAAGATCTGGTCAGGCCAAAGCATACAAGTTCAGTTCCATGTAAAAAAGGAAAACGATTAAGAAAACGCGAGAGCATAAAACACAAGAAAAGAACTGAACTGAACCAAACTCCATACTTATTAAAGTATATATATCAATAAGTGACCATTTGACTCACTCCAGATTTCTATACAGTTTTCAAAACCCAGATTGGATACAACAAGATTCCTTCCGAGCCATAAAACGACTCTAAACAATCAAAATTCAAGCTGAATTCTATCCAAATTAAGCAGACTCCAGAAAATCTACCACTCTAAAAATGGATTCCCATTCTCTTTCACTCCAAGCAAAATGGCCCTCATTTTCTCGGAAATACAGTTCTTCGTACATGATCAGAGTTTGTTTGACCACATGAAGCTAAAGTAAGCTCATTTAACAGAAAATGCAACAAACCAATCAAAATTTCGACATACAATAATCTGAAATTCCAATCAAACTCTTCCATTTATTCGTTCGTGTCACATCTCAATAAGTTCAACACAAAAATCATAGCTCAAAATTTTTTCTAATTTCCTACTTAGAAACCAATTAATTTAATGTCAACCAGCTCGCAACTACAGGGAAGGGGGATACATAGGGGAATTTGGCAAAAGCAAAAGCGTATGAAGGTACAAACATTGCTTCGGAGAAAGGAGGTACCTTTGGACTTGTCTTCGAAGAAGAGGGACTCGGCGGGGGCGGAGGCGAGAGAGCCGCCGGAGAGGGCGTCCTTGGTGGACTGCTCGAAGAAATCGTGGATGTCATCAGTGCTGATGTTAGCCCTCCATGCCTTCTTCCCCTTCCTGGAGGTCTTGGCCTTCTTCCCCATCGCTTTTTTCCTTCTATTTCGGAGTTCCGAGTTCTCAAGTGCGCTGCTTTCTCTGCGGGTTTAGGCGGTTCGTTTATAAACCCTAATTCTGAATGGCAAGTAAACGGCGTCGTTCGCTAACTAGTTTTATTTATTTATTATTTAATTTTTTTTATGGCAAAAGCTTTTTATTGTTTATTTATTAAGTAAATTGTAGCAGTGTATCTTAATTTGAATTTAATTAGAGCAATGGTCTCTCAACTAAATACTTATTAACATTGGTCTCTTAACTCATCAAAATGTGCAACTATGGTCCCTCAATTCATCAAAACGTGCAACTATGGTCTCTCAATTAAAAATTCATTACCATTGGTTTCTTAACTTTAATCCAACTAGAGAAATGATCCTTCAACTCTAACATAATTGAAGCAATAGTCTCTCAATTTTAACTTAATTGTAGCAATGGTCATTTCAACATAACTCATTTTGACAAAATTCTGACGAAGTTGACAAAAATGACTATAGCTACACGTTTTGATGAGTTGAGGGACCTCAATTTTAACCAAATTATAGCAATGATCATTTCAACATAACTCATTTTAACAAAATTCTGACGAAATTGACAGAAAAGACCATAGCTACACGTTTTGATAAGTTGAGGGACCTCAATTGTAGCAATGATCATTCCAACATAACTTATTTTGACAAAATTCTAACGAAGTTGACGAAAATAACTATAACTACATATTTTGATGAATTAAGGGACCAAAGATAATAGATTTTTAGTTGAGGGATCATTGTTCAAATTTAATTAAAATTGAGACATCATTGCTACAGTTACCCTTATTTATTCGGTATAGTACTGTAGAATATTGTGGTGGATCGGAAAAGATAATTTCCGATAAGCATCAGCAACTTCACCACCTCTCACTGTGGTCACTGGAAGACGACGATCGGCTAACTGCGACGGAGGTCCATGGGTCTAGCTGTTAAATTGGGCTTTCCTCAACCTGCTTATCCTCTGGTTCTTCCCGCCTCAACTTCCAAAGACAAAGTAAGCAACTCCATCTCTCTCTCTGTTCTGCCTCTTTTGTTGCTGTTTTGGTCTCTCTTTCTTCGTTAACTTCATGTTCGTTCAATCACAAAGTAATATTAATATCAAACTTAATCGATTGCAGAGTAAAAATTCAACATTAATTCAATCATCTCCAACAACCCAGAAACCCAATGGAAGCAAATTTCCGAGCTTAGTTTTTGTTGATGAAACTCGGAAAAGGTTTCAAATTCAACCCTTAATTGATATCCTTTATGGTTGTGAGGACATGGGTTCTGTAGGAAAAGTTAAATCTGTTCATGGGTTGGTATTAAAATCCGAGCTTTCGGACAGGGACTTGCTGGTGGTGTTGAACCATGTTGCCAATGCCTATTCGAAATGCTTGGATTTTGACACAGCTCGTCGAGTGTTTGATGAAATGCCGCTGAGGAACATATTCTCTTGGACAGTCATGATTGTTGGGTCGACAGAGAGTGGGTTGTTTCTTGATGGGTTTAAGTTCTTTTGTGATATGGTGGTTAGTGGAATTTTACCAGACAAGTTTGCGTATTCAGCGGTTGTGCAGACATGCATTGGGTTAGATTGTATCGAATTGGGCGAAATGGTGCATGCCCAGGTTGTTGTAAGAGGCTTTGCGTCTGATACTTTTGTAAGTACAACTCTTCTTAACATGTATGCAAAGTTCGGAATGGTTGAGAATTCGTGTAGGATGTTTAATACCATGACTGAACATAATAAAGTCTCCTGGAATGCAATGATTTCAGGGTTAACATCAAATGGCCTTCATTCTGAAGCATTTGATCAATTTGTAAGAATGCAGAAAGAAGGAATTAAACCAAATTTGTATACACTCATCAGTGTCTCGAAAGCAGTCGGGAAGTTAGGTAATGTTGACAAGAGCAAAATTGTTCACAGTTATGCATCTGGATTGAGCATGGAGCCTAGTGTTCTTGTGGGAACTGCTCTTATCGATATGTACTCTAAATGCAAGTCTGTGTCTGATGCAAGATCTGTTTTTGACTTGAATTTCACCAGTTGTAAAACCAATCCACCATGGAATGCAATGATATCTGGTTATTCACAGTCAGGTCACAGCCAAGAAGCATTGGAGCTCTTTGTGAGAATGTGCGTAAACAATATACAACCAGACAAATACACTTACTGCAGTGTCTTCAATGCAATAGCTGCTTTGAAATGTTTGCGTTTGGGAAAGGAAATTCATGGGATGGTTTTGAAGTCTGGGGTGGAAATGAAGGTTACAAGCATCTCCAATGCAATTGCCAATGCATATGCCAAATGTGGGTTGCTCAAAGACGTACAGAAGGTCTTTGACAGGATAGAAGAGAGAGATTTAGTGTCTTGGACAACACTGGTGACTGCTTGTTCACAATGTTTTGAATGGGAGGATGCACTGATAGTCTTCTCAAAGTTGAGAGAAGAAGGCTTTACACCGAACGAGTTTACCATTTCTAGTGTGCTTGTTGCATGTGCCAGCCTTTGTTTCCTGGAGTATGGTCAGCAAGTCCATGGCCTCCTTTGCAAGGCTGGCTTGGACTCGGAAAAGTGTATAGAAAGTGCTCTAATTGATATGTATGCCAAGTGCGGTAATATAGACGAGGCGCAAGAGGTCTTTGAGAGGATTTCTGAACCAGATACAGTGTCGTGGACTGCTATTATATCAGGCTATGCTCAACATGGGCTTGTGGAGGATGCTCTTGAACTCTTTAAGAGAATGGAGCAGATGGGTGTGAAGGCCAATGATGTGACGCTATTGTGTGTTCTGTTTGCATGCAGCCACCGTGGTATGGTAGATGAAGGCCACTATCTTTTTCATCAAATGGAAAAATCATATGGGGTGGTGCCAAAGATGGAACATTATGCTTGTATTGTTGATCTCTTAGGTCGTGTAGGCCGTCTTAATGATGCAATGGAGTTCATAGAAAGAATGCCAATTGAGCCCGACGAAATGGTTTGGCAGACTTTGTTGGGAGCATGTAGGGTACATGAAAATGTTGAGTTGGGGGAGATTGCAGCTGAGAAGATTCTTTCGGTTACACCAGAATCCTCAGCTACCTATGTTCTTCTGTACAACACCTATATCAGGACAGGGAGTTATGAAGATGGACTTAGTCTGAGAGATGTGATGAAAGACCGAGGCGTGAAAAAGGAACCAGGTTGTAGTTGGATTTCTGTGAATGGTAGAATCCACAAATTTTATGCAGGGGATCAACGACATCCAGAAAAGCATGATATTTATGCAAATTTAGAAGAGCTGAGAGCGAAGCTTAAATCCATGGGTTACATTCCAGATTTGCGTAATGTATTGCAAGATGTGAATTTGGTAGAAAAAAGGGGGATGCATGGATGAGCTTGCTGAATAGAAAAGATTAATGTCAACAATTTGTTCAATATTTCTTGTATAACCATGTCAAGTAGGGGGACAAAATGTTCAGGTCTGGTGTATATGATCAACATAAAGAGAAGTGGCAGCATCTAAGAGTAAATGAATCTTTGGATGATAAAACTCCAAGGGCGGAACTGCCATGTACATTCGATAGCATCAAGGTACATACAGGCTACAGATGAGAAACCCACAAAGTTCATGTTGCCACATTGGTTCAATGAACTTGTGAAAGAATGTTGATCTCATTGACTGACAACAAAATATCATTGTGCAATCGACTCTGGTGGATTTTTGGCTTCTTTGATCACAGAGTTTTTTCGGGCACATGCGGTGTTCTCAAGAGGCTGTGTATAGGGTGAAGTGGCAGAATTGACTTGAGTTCATTATTAAGGACCCTGGGGCTCACAACTATTCAACAACACCCACCGATACAAAGGTATTGAACTGTATGGCTGCACCGGATTTCATACTCCGTGTTAAGAGGTGCAGGGGAAGAGGGTATGAAACCGTTACATGCAAGTCTTTCTCCCAACTTTGAGGAAAACCAAGTGGAAATCCTATTCTGAAGTCAGGCTATTCAACTCATCGTGTTTTGGGTTTCCACACATTCTGATTGATATAGTGAGGTCACTAATCAGCTTTGTTTTATGTAATGAGCTGATGAAAGGATGTTGGCTACTTTTCCTAAAGTGTGTTAAATGGGGATGGGACATATTTTGTCTACACTATACATTTACTGAAGGAATTCACATCACATATCATTGCGGGTTCAATCATTCATAATCCATGTTCAAAATTCTGTGCCTTGTCCAGTATATCTAGAGGATATAAGGCTTTTTAACTGAATAAAAGCAAGGAAAGTGTACACTTCCTTTCACTCAATAAATCTTATTGTTTTGGAGTTTGATCGGCATATCCACGTACCACACCATGTGGTGTTACTAATTTTCATGTTATAATCCTAGATCCATGCATATCAATTGTGTCATCCGCTCATACTATAACTCATAGATCAATACACCAATTGTCATATGACAGTTTGGCCGTTGCACAAACCATTTCTCTTGGGAATTTTCTAGTATGGACCAAAGCATAGCATACATTGAGATCATTGATTGTTTGATCTTCATCCATTGAATTACTAATCACACGTTTAGTCATTCATTCACCTGGTTGACGCTATGTGTAGTGTCATTGTAGAATTTTCCTTTTCTCTACAAGGTGGCTAAAAACTTATTACTTTTTGCTTCTCCAATCTCCAACCCAAAATCTCAGTAGTGTCTCCTATCTTTGTGGGGCTTTTACTTAAGCTTGTGGGGCATAAGAAAATTTGCAAGCCAAAAGAGGACATGAAGCAGTAAGAGAGCCAACAATCTGTGCCTTTGAAACAGTATCCAAAAATCAACAAAAAGACAGCAACCTAACAGTTGAAAACACCCTTCCTTCTGAGATGTCTCTTGCTTTGCTTGTACAAATATATACATATATACATATTCATTATATGAGGACAAGCCTCTGCGCAACAGAAAAGTTGCTCCTTTATGACCGAAAGGTCACAGATTTGAATCGTGGAAACAGCCTCTTTGCAGAGCAAGAGTAAAGTTGTGTACGATAGACGTCTCTCCCCTCCCTCCAACCCTCTCAAAGCTGGGAGCCTTGTTGTCTTAGAATCAGACTTTATACATATATGCATTATACACACAGATCCATCTGGTTCTGCCATCGCTGGGAGGATCTTTGCAGGTTCCAATTTACATGTGATGAACAAGACACACATAGCTAGGGACACATAACACACATAGCTAGGGACACACACATATGATATATGATCCAGGTTTCTCTAATTTGCTATGCTCCATACAACTTTTGCAAATTATTTTATTTCTCATCATTGTAATTGCAATTATGTCATCTTCGATGGCTACAACCGACCCCGTGACCTCTTTTTTTTTTTTTTTTTTTGGTTTTTTATAAATTTTTTATTTTGTTATCTGGGTCAAGATCAATGACTCGGTGGGGTTGATTGCAACTCGAAAGAGAACAATTAGGTGCCCTCTGTGACTTAAGGCCATGCATAATGATGCTATACATAGACCATTGTTTGTCATGATTGATACGTAGGTCACCTCCGTTGAAATATTTCACATCGATCATATCTTTGCAAAAAGAAGAGTTTAAATATTCTAACTACATTTTAACTAATATTGAGGCTTTTTTTTGTGATAAAACCCCACATATTGTGTAGGTGGTAATTAAGAAGTTGAGGACAATATCAGTGTTGTTGGAAGCATGCCTTTGGCCTGTCTTTCTGATAATTTGACATGGTATCAGAGTCAAAGAGCGGGCCCATAGCACCACGTGATGGGTGGGTCTCCTTGGCCCCACGCGATGATGTTGGGTCCTTTGGCCCCGCGTGTAGGGTGAGCCCCCTTAGTTGCCAATGTGTGGATCTCCCGTATATGACCCACTAATTGGATCCCAGGTAAGGATGCATGTTGAAATAGCTCGACCATACCTCTGAGAAAAGAAGAGTTTAAATATCCTAACCGTAGACCTAACCTCAATCTAACTATACCGAAGTTTTTTGTGATAAAACTTGATAATTAACAAGTTGTGGACAATATCAGTAATAATGTGACACCTTCAAGATGATGACTCCAAGATGATGGGTACGTATTTCAAGTCCTTGAAAATCACACGAGGCCACCGCCATAATTATTTTCATGTCACCTTCAAGATAATTAATCTTTAGAGAAAGTCGGGTTAACTAATCCTATCACTAAGATCTCGTGTCTCTGGACGTAAGATATAAAACCAAACGTGGGCACATAATTAGGTTAACTAATCTTATCACTCAGACCCACGTCTGACTGACTAATCTTATCACTTAAACCACATATGATCCGGAGACGTAAGACCTCTGCAACTTCACTGTATTTTTTTTATTTTTTATATATGGCACTTGATAGACATAGTTTAAGCTCTATATGTTTATCACTATGTTCACTATATTCACCTCTATTTCAAAAAATTAGAGGCAAAATATATTGCATGCCGTAAACCACAAGGGATTCAAATTGAAACTGAACCTTAAATATATGTACAGTATGTGTAAATATAAATGATTATTTATATATAGAAAGGAGAGAAATGTAAAAGAGAGAGGGAGAGAGAGAAACCCACGTGGGTATTTTTATTTTTTTTTATTTTTAATTAGAGATATATTTTGATCATATGTAGGTGGATAAAAAAATTTATGTGCGGAATTATTTTAATGTCCATATTTTTTTTCTTTTTGAATATTTTCTTTCAAGTATTCAGGTAAGGGTATAATAGTACTTATATTGGTATTTCGATGACAAAGAGTATTCTTTAGTAAGCAATATAGATTGATACCCTAAAGAAGAGGTTCACTTACTTTTCATGTCAGTGGCAACGACGCGAAGGAAATAAGGTGGCTCATGAGTTAGCAAAATTTGAACTTTATAATGAAGGATTTCATACATGGGTGGAGGAGGAGCCAATTTGGCTTGCTCCTTTCTTGGAAGTAGATTTGGAGAATGATAATTGAATGTAAGTGGGGAGCAATTTGGCGAAGTACTATTTTTTCCCTCTTCTCTGGAGGTTTTTAATGAGGCTTCCATTGCTTCTCCAAATCTCTTGTACTTTGTTATTTTTACAGAAATAAAAATTCAGTTTTCGATAAAAAAAAAGAAAAGAAAAAAAAGTAAGCAATATGGATTGCATGCCTCATATAGTATCAGTCTGGGGGCTCTTTCAATGAATGCTATGGATATTTTCAGAAGCGGTATTGCCCTTATTATGGAGATGAGTTGATTGGTGGTTTCCTTTTCAGATTAGTTAGGTTTTAAATTTTTGTGATATTCCCCACTTCTCACGTTTGTGATGTCTTGGTGTCGCGAGTTGATGTGGCCTCGTTACTGTAGTGATGGTTTGATGTGGCCTCACTAGTTTAGTAAAGGCCTAATTGTACACGCATCTAATGCCGGGTGTCGCATAATCCTCTTTGTGGCAGATTGATGCCGTATGCTTTTTAGTTCTTGCGGTAGCTGTGTAGGAATTTTAACTTATTTTTTAGTTGCATTAATTTCTCTCCAGATCAAGAAATTGATCATTAAAAATGTGTGAAAGGCATTGGATCGGTTGCTCGTGTTTAGAAGACACAAACAACCGTATTTTTCGAGCCTATTACAGGGGAACGGGCACGCTTTTGTATTTGTTGGCCCCTGTTAATAAAATCACTCTAATATAAAGAATAAAATTCCAATCTAATCTCGCACACCAAAAGAAGCATTTGAGTATTATATCAAAGTGTACGCCAAATTTAGATTCTTATTTAGAAATTGTAAGGGTGGTTCTATCTACCCATTTTTACTTCTTACACACCTCTCTCGTTTTTTTGCTTTTGGATTGAAAGAATTGAAGAAGATCAGTGAACACAAATTAACAAAAGTGTGTAGAAGGTAAAAATGTATGTATGTAGCACTATCCGATTGAAAATGACTTTCAATACATCTTAATCTGTCGTTAATTTTTTGCTTTGGCTTACCATGCATATAAGTCAATAGATCGATTAACCAGTGACCAACCAACATACTGTTTCTTTATATAAGAACTTAATTTCTTAAGAACATGTATTACACAAACGAAAGAATAAAGGTTATTAATTTAAGAAGAAACCAATGCATGCCGATATCATTTTAAAATATTTGGCAGAAGAATTTTTTGGCTTGAAAAAAATACAAAGCAATACAGCTGTATGAAGTCTTAGGCCGATTTGTTTGCATGGGTCATGGGTGCTCTCTCTGCACATAACAAGGGTCATGGGTGCTCTCTCTGCACATAACAAGATTATTGCAGTAAAGCAATTTGTAGGGATTATGTAACTGTAAGCTAAAAATTCTAAAATGACGACGTTGGACAACGACCTTTTTTATTCTCGAGTGTCGGGGATACATGCAGGATGAAAATGACATTTTCTTCAATCTATTTAATGAATTAATCATTTATGTAAGTACATATGTAAAGAGATATTTTAGGTTGCAATTAACTGTATCGTTGGTGAATTACATGATGGTGGTTAGAGGTAGGTTGAAATGTCTCTGTGAGTCATTACTGTTCCCTAAATGTGAACATGCACTTGATATATGATTTATATGTTGTCGTTATTATTGTTACCGTTAATATATAGGGAACTGTTATAGGCACTCCAAAAATCTCATTCTACACTCTTCACTAGTGTATTTTTCTTTCTAAATATAGAAAGTTTGCAGTGTAGAATGAGATTTTTAGAGTGCCAATAACAATTCCCAATATATATTGTGCTTGCAAATTTAGTTAACTGCAACTTAGAATGAATGTATATGTAAATGTGTATGTATTTGATATATCTAACCAAATTTTTGGATATTGTTACTTATATATATATATATATTTATATATCCTTGCATATAGATTCTTCAATTGCCTACAAGAACTCTCTCTCTCTCTCTCTCTCTCTCTATGAACAACAGAGGCCCTTATCACTCAACTTTATACATCAAATAAATTTTGTTTCCACTGACATTTGCATGTGAATGTACGTTCCCAAAGTGCAACTCACGTGAGTTTTTTGCTAGCAAGAGTCACAAGAATCCTATATACATATTACTACACTAAAGAATATTTCTTGGACACAATGTTTATGTATTTGTTTATGGCAGTAACAATTTATTGGGTTATTGTTTTAAGTGAATCACAAAATTTTGGAACCTTATGAAGGAGCACAGATTTGTTGTCAAGCATTGCAAAACGATGGCTTTATGTGGTGATTGTGGCAAGGCTTGTCATTATATGAGATTTTTATTCCATTTTCAAATAATATGGAATGTCACGAGAAGCATTTCTGAATAAAGTAATACTTTCATTGCATGATTGTGCATGCCCTAATTAAATTGGTTCCAATTCTTTGTTGTTATTTTGATTTGCTTTGTCGCATGTTTTGGATACCTAATAGACACCAAAACGCGTACAGGTCATGAGTAGTGCACCATAATTATAACTACATATCACTTTCTAATTGAGATTATTATAAACAATTAACAATTTCATTATTGCTGTGATCTCACAAATACAACAGAGTTTAACGCGTACATATGTCCTATGTTGATCAATTAATTAATTAAAAATAAATAAAATAAAAGCTTTTTAAAAATGTATTAATATTAAGGGGAGGGGGCCAAAACTATTACAATAATTTAATAAATGAGAGAGTTTCGAACCTGAGTCACATAAGTAGAAACATAACAACATATTCACTATGATATTGAACCACATAAGATAAAATATAAGCATATTTGTCTTAGTCGGGTTTATACCCCAAAGCATTCCCTTCATTATGAAACATGTGAATGAGAACAATCAAATCCTTAAAGATTCTTTTGCAGCAACCTCCAACTTTTTGGCAACTAACAAGCCCTAAGATGAGTACGTATCATAGGTTAATTTATAACCCTCGAAATTGATGATAAAATAGATAGAGCTTAAAATCCTTTGCATTTCGGGTTTGAGGGATGGTAAGATAGAGCTTAAGATCCTTTGCCTTCGGGTTTGAGGGTGAACCTCTGTGTCCTACATATCGTTCTACTCCGATAAACTAACATTGCGTAACCCTCTATTTATTTGTAAAATAATCGGAATGAATCAATTCATTATCATCAACCAAGTAGAAATTGCATGCATATATCCTCATAACAGGTTTTCCAAATCAAATAAAAATGTAAAATGCTTAGGGATTATTAAGGGAAAAAAAGGGCTACGGAAAACCTGACAAGAATTGGACAGCACTGAACAAATTAATAAAACGAAATCAGTCACTTCAATTTGATGAAGAAATGCTAGCTAATAGGTTTCAAAGGTATCAGGACAAATTATTGCTTATCTGTTTTAATTTGTTTTTTCCTACTTTTTTCTTCAGTATATTATCATATCGATAAGCATCAGGTCACGCTCAGTATTTTGATTCATGCCTTCCAGCGTATTACAAGTAGTGCATTTCATGGAGATAAAACCAATTAACCCAGTACTACCTGATCAGTAAGATGCATGAGAAATCAAATCAAAATTATGATGGATCTGTTTACATATACAAAATCAAAGCACATGCGCCATGATCAACCAAAACTAATCTGGGAAAATAATTGAGGGAAACCCTAATTCTTGGAAATTAAAAAAAAATTAAAAATAAGCTAAGGAAACCCTAATTTATGGACGGCAAGGGACAAAGGTTGGGAGCAGGGTATGTGTATGTAGAGTATTGTTTGGTTGTAATGATTAATGGGCACACATGTGAATAGAGTTAGTACGTGATTTGTCTCTGTGGCGAATGGAGACAATGCTCGAACGAACAAGGACTAGCTAGGGAAAACTCTTGCTCTTAAGTCTCCTATACATGTACATTTACAATTATACATATATACACGTAGTGACAATATATGTTTGATTCATAAATATAAAGGTCTTGTGATACATAAAAAGTACATATATTGACTGCAGATGGAAATTGGAATTTTACTTGCATGCTTATTGGTATTTGGTGCAAGCTAAGGTTCTTTTTCCTCATCTACCTGTCCATGGAAGGAAATATATTTTTGGAAATATTTGACTAATTTTTATAAGTTTATATGCAAATGCATTGTCAAAAGTTAAAGAAGTGCTAATTCAATTATATATAACTTAATCTGACCTGCAAGTTGCACTCAAAATGATCATATGGTCCTGGAATGGATATAAAATTATAAATAGATTTTGGTTCATGATTGATTAGTACAAAGAACAAGTAGCTAGTTAGAACATGATGAAATCAACTATCCCATGCATAAATACTTAATGTTATGAATCTATGATTGCATATACATGGTACATATTTATATGAGTTTCAAAAAAATTAATTAAATTAAAAGGGGGTATGATGAGCAGATACGAGCTTAATGAATTTGGGCAGAGTGTATATATGCATATCTCCTTACACTCAAATTTGAATCATCCTATTTAATGTTGATTATCTCATCGTTTGTCAAGAAAAAGGTATAATGAATATGAACTAGAAGGTTATTTGCTAGCTAGAGATGATGAGAAGGTAGACATGGCACGTGTAGAGAGACGAAGAGAGAGAAAGGGAGAGGACAAAAGGGAAAACGGAGATGGGGAGGGGGATTGTGTGTTTGGGAGGAGGCTAAGCTAAAATAAACCCCGTGAGGTGTGTTTGGAGGCATTCCAAAACTCACAAACTAAACATGTATCGATCATATTTTGTTGCTTCTCTTCTCATGCACTTGTTTCGATGGCTCGATGGTTGGCCTATTCCACAAATCCACAGTTGCCACTCCCACCTCGATCCCTCTATATATCTCCATCACGTGCTCATGATTCCCCCATTTCTTCCCGCGCTTCACTTCTTTTTTTCCCTTTCTACCCCTTTCTCTGTATCATTTTCGCATCTTTATTCACTAACAATTCATAATTTTGGTGCATACATACACATACACATATATATGTGAAATGAATATTCAGAATGAATGAAAGACATAAAATCTCTTTTGTTTTCAAGCTTATATTCGATCCTAAATGTTTTCTAGCTTAATATCAAGTGGCCTTAGCTTTCTGTATATCAACTTGCAGACTACTCCAAAAACATGCATGCATGTGAAACTGATCGCTCTCAATATCACTATTACTGTTTTTATCGCCAGATGAATTATATACAGAATATATATGCAAAGATAAGTAATTATAATACATGTATATATATATATTTTTTGTCGAAGACATGTATATATAAAGAACTTGGCTATATAATTTGATTAGAAACTAGAAGAATATATACTGTATAATCTTAATCATTAGCAACTTTGCAGATATGATCTATGATTTTATGCTGAACAGCTTGATAATGTTGGAAAGTTCATATAAATTATCAGTTTAGGTAGTACGTGGCTTGGTATGCATTTCTTTAATCAAAGACATTAATGTGATCTTATTTATAAGTAGTTAAGTTATTTTATCTGAATTTTTTTCAGCAATATTGCTGAATTCCACTTTATCATGTATATACATGATATGAAGAATATGTGTTGTTTCATGTTAAATTAATTTGTTTAGTGAATAAGTCACGTTGAATTCGATTTTTCCTGGAACAATTTGGTCAAATGCACTGTTATACCCAACAAATTAAGTAAACTTTAGGTTTAAGAAGCCCATTAGTACTAAATAAATAAGAAGACAAATGATTAATTATGTGCAATTAATCATCCCAAGGATTAACGAGAAATGTTATTTCCTTAAAGCGAGGGCATGTCAGTAATTGCAGCCAGAATATATTATCTATAGTACATTATTAATTTGTTGTGGGAAAAGAAAAAAAAACTGAGGCAGTCATGTGCAGGGAAGCAAACAGGATCATATAGATTTGAGAGCTCATCTCCCTCTTATAAAAAGCTTTCAGAGCTTCTCAGAGACTTGTATAAGGAAAAGAAAGAAGAGAGGCGAAAGTGAAAGCTGGGAAATCTGAAATATATATCGAATCCGATATCCTACTTTTTCCAGTTTCCATGGTTTCTAGGGAGCACAAGAGGGCAGCACTCTATGAGAAGCTGCAACTTCTTCGTTCTATAACTAACTCTCATGCTGTAATTCCCCCTGCTGCATTCATTTCTCAGGCTTTCCCTTTATTCTATTGGCCTAAATTCTCGAAGTTTTATATACACTAAACTACAATTGTTTCTTTTCACTAACACAAAGTACATGCAACTGGTTTCGTTTTATGTTGGCTGCCAGAAAAACCGCTTCTTCTTTCCGGTTTCGCACCAACTTGGGCGAAATGGGTCCCCCTGTTAAATATCTCATTTCTGCACCACTCTCTTGATTTTTAAACTGATGGGGGAATTATTATTATGAATCTCATTCTCTTGGTCACCCACCTTTGAATTTGATTTCAAAGGTTGAGATTAAAAATTTTCACTTTTGATATCAAATCCACAAGTGAGTGACTATATATATATATATTTCCTTGTTGCCTGATGGCCATGAGAACATTTCTGTTAAGATTATATTCGGAACCAATTTATTTCCGTGGTTTGTTAAGCTTATTAAGAGAAAACTGAAACAATATTATAAGTAGTATGCTGTGAGTTGTCAAAAGCTAAAAGTTCTTACAGTTTGTGTATATGTGTGTGTCTCTCATGACTGCCCCTCCGATATATATATTCGTTTTCTGAACATCTCAATATTCTATGTATGTTATCTTGATTTTAAAACTGAGGATCGAACATTAGAATTATATTGATAAAAATTCAATTATCTATTTGTGTAATTTACTACGTCTATATATCTAAAGAGAGAGATCAATTCATTTGGAACTTCATTATAAGTACCAAGCCGTCAGTTATGGCATTGATGTAATTATATGACACTTATCTAAATCTACGAGAGTGTGTTTGTGTGTGTATATATAGGTATACATATATATTGGTTATATACGGATATATGTGTGTGTGTACATATACATTTTGATTATTGATCGATATCAAAAGTATACATCTCTAACAGTACAGTTTTTGGTTTGCGCATGTGTCACAGCTAAACAAAACCTCAATCATAGTAGATGCCTCCAAGTACATTGAAGAGCTAAAACAAAAGGTGGAAAGACTGAATCAAGATATTGCAAATGCACAAACTACTTCATCATCAAGTGACCAAACTTCATTGCCTGTGGTACTTATACAAACTGAATTGACCCTTTTCCATATCGGGTGCTATGATTAATATTTTATTAATGTCCTTTTTAGCTGTATGGGTGGTAATATATAATGGGATTTTTAATTTGTTATAATTTGTAAATGTCCTTATATTTTCAGCAGGTTACAGTGGAAACCCTAGAAAAAGGATTTCTGATAAATGTGTTTTCTGGGAAGAGTTGCCCAGGTTTGCTTGTGTCTGTTCTGGAAGCTTTCGAAGACTTGGGTCTCAATGTGCTTGAAGCTAGGGTTTCCTGTGCAGACAGTTTCAGGTTACAGGCAGTTGGAGGAGAAGTAAGACAATTCAATTCCTCTCTATATATATAAATAATTACTGAGGATTATATATAAACTTGTTCATGACAGCAGCTATAAGGTAAATTCGCTTTAATATTGTATAGAATGAAGAGGAAGGTGAAAGCATTGACGCTCATGCAGTAAAGCAAGCAGTGGCAGTGGCTATAAAAAACTGGAGCGAAAATACCGAAAATGAGTAATCAAGATTCGGTTGCTATATATAGCTACCTAGGTATGTTTGATGATGATCACATCAGTTTTCGCTTTCTTGGATAATGATGTAGCTTATCAGGGAATATATTTGTATGCAGTAGGGTATTATATTAACAGATCTAGCATAGAGAGTGCCGGGCTACCAATATGATTTTATGTGCTCGGATTGAGATTTTATCACCAGGATGGACAAGTAAGTCACTGCAAGCAAGAACATCTGTCCATATGCAGGCCCAAAGGAATTTCATCTTCTCCTTCTGTGCTTTAACTTCTTCAATTGATTCTAACACCCACCCGGACACGTCTTTGAGTGTCTGGATGCCATTAAAACAAAGGATAATTAACAAAATTAATCATTCCCTAACCCTAATTGCAGATGCAATATGGGTTTTTAAAAGATTGAACTATTGACACAGTAAAACTGTTTCATTAAATAACCTACATAAATAGATTTTCCTTTCAAAGAAGATGCTTATGAAACAGTGAATGCCAAAGACAGAGAGTGCAAATATTCCAATTGTTAAATCAAGTCAAACTAATTAGAACTGCATACTTGCTTACTAGGATACAAAGAAAGCAGCCAATAACCTCAAATGGAAAACGTGGTTCAAAGGATTTTTTAAGGGTAGATATGTTAAATTTCAGGTAGACGGGTCCATGGGCCTACTCCAACAACACCGATATTGTCCCCACTTGGCCACCTGCTCAATTCGTCAGGTGTGGGGTTTTAATACAAAAGGCCTCGGTATTAGTTAGAGTGAGGTAATTCTATTTAAACTTATTTTCTTCTCTCCCTCTATCTGATGTGGGACAATGGACTCCAACACTCCCCCGCATGTGAGACCCCATTTTATGGGTCACACGTGGAGTTCCACACATCGGCAACCACGTGGAGCCAAGTTAGGGCTCACCCATTAGTGCGGGGCCAATGGGGACCCACCTATTCACGTGGCATCTCTTGGCCTACGTGGAGCCAAGTCGGGGCTCATCCATTTGCGCAGGGCCAAAGGGGACCCACCCATTCACATGGCAATACGGGCCCGTCCCCTGACTCTGATACCATATTAAATTTCAGGTAGATGGGCCACGGGCCCACTCCAACAATACCGATACTATCCTCACTTGGGCACCTGCTCAATTCGTTGAGTGTGAGGTTTTAATACAAAAGACCTCGGTGTTAGTTAGAGTGGGGTAATTATATTTAAACTTATTTTCTTCTCTCCCTCTGTCCAATGTGGGACAATGGATTCCAACAAGATATGCATGTGGAGCGGCACGACACATCACTAAACGGGAATTTCTCATATATAACCAATATTTACCCTCTAATTTCGTAAGAGTGGCGTTAAGTCCAGCCCATTGTCTTATCATTTCACCTTCTTTAAAATATAAATATCAATGACAAATATCTCATCTTATAAAATGACATTTAAGGACTTAAACAATAACTACTAACATTTTGCCACATCATCATTAGTTGAAATAGTAGAACCACAAGAAACAAAAAAAATTAAAAAATCCACCCTACTGTACAAGCCCAACCAGTCCACACCCGCACGCCTCCCTAATGGTGGCGTCGATGCTAGCTCCTCCTCCCTCTTTAAATTCCCTTTCTCTCATGGCGGATGACAGCCTTAATCTAATTCCGGCGGAATGGAGATTGTGAACAATGAAGTGGAATATATAGGTGGAGCTATGCAGGTGGGTGGTTGTGTAACATCCCACATCGACCAACGGAGAGGGGATGATGTGCCTTATATGTACATGCCCACCTCCATATAGCACGAGGCCTTTTGGGGACTTACTGACTTCGGATTCCATTGGAACTCTGAAGTTAAGCGAGTTTGAGCGAGAGCATTCCCAAGATGGGTGACCCGCTGGAAAGTTCTCGTGTGAGTTCCCAGAAACAAAACCGTGAGGGTGTGGCCGAGGCTTAAAGCGGATAATATCATGCTATGACGGAGTCGAGTCTAGGATGTGACAGAATGGTATCAGAGCCACTCAGCCGTTCGGTGCGAGTGTGCCGACGAGGACATCGGGTCCCCTAGGGGGTGGATTGTAACATCCCACATCGACCAACGGAGAGGGGGTGATGTGCCTTATATGTACATGCCCACCTCTATATAGCACGAGGCTTTTTGAGGACTCACTGGCTTCAGATTCCATTGGAACTCCGAAGTTAAGCGAGTTCGAGCGAGAGCATTCCCAGGATGGATGACCTACTGGGAAGTTCTTGTGTGAGTTCCTAGAAACAAAACCATGAGGACGTGGCCAGGGCCCAAAACGAACAAAATCGTAGCGAACAATATTGTGCTACGACGGAGTCGAGTCTAGGATGTGACAAAATGGTATCAGAGCCACTCAGTCGTTCGGTGCAAGTGTGCTAACGAGGACATCGGGCCCCCAGGGGGGTGGATTGTAACATCCCACATCGACCAACGGAGAGGGGGTGATGTGCCTTATATGTACATGCCCGCCTCCATATAACTCGAGGCTTTTTGGGGACTCACTAGCTTTAGATTCCATTGGAACTCCGAAGTTAAGCGAGTTCGAGCGAGAGCATTCCCAGGATGGGTGGCCTACTGAGAAGTTATCGTGTGAGTTCCTAGAAACAAAATCGTGAGGACGTGGCCAGGGCCCAAAACGGACAAAATCGTACTATGGCGGAGTTAAGTCTAGGATGTGACAGGTTATGAGGCTATGACCGTGTTGTGAAGGGTGGCATAGGGTAGGGCATAGGTGTTGGCGTGCCTAAAATTTTAGGGGTCGTGGTGTTGTTGGGGTTTTGGAGGTCTGATTTTTTTTTTTTTTTGCAGCGAGTGGCGAGAGTTCCGTCTTTGAAGGTCAATCTGCCTCATTTCGGTTCCTTTTTCTCTCTCAAATATCTTCAGAACACAACCCTCAATCCAACAAAAAGAATAAGGGAGCGAGCAAAGTAATTCTCACTGCACATGTACAAAGTGCAACAATGCATTAACATACTCATATTTCTTGTCCATAGTCTGATATTCAATCATTAATTGGCACTATGACTTGGTTTTTTATGGTGATATATATATGTACCATTACCTCTTTTGCCATCTCCACCTTCTTCGAGCTTGACCCAGAAAAGAGGTGACTGTGGACCTTCCATGTCTGCCTTGATGGATTCTTGTTTGTTGTTTGAATTACTGTTGAATATGTACCATAATTGTTTTTTTTTTCTTGAGATAAATATATTTTACATGTATATATACATATTACAGAAAATAAAAATTAAAGAACATAAAGATATTTAAAGGGTTATAATTGGAATAATGGTGGGTAGGAAAAGAGTGATGTTATTATTTACCCTTTTATAGTGGGTGGGAATATAATGTGGGTGGGAAGATAAGACAATGGGGTGGGCTTAGTACCACTCTTTCATAAATATCAGTTTTTATAAGAACTATCAATTATAGCAAAAAACATGCTTAAATAGACCAAACTACCCTAAAAATTATTATCAAATTACACTACACCTAAAATCATTGGAATTCATTTTCATTCAAACTCACAACAAAATTGCTTACTTGTTGCCAAAGTCTCCCCCACCGCCGCAACCCTCCACCTCTCTGCCTGTGCTTATCCTTCTCCTTTATATTGTTTTTTGTAATTAGTTTTTGTTCTTATAGGTATTGCAAAAAAAACATCAAAAATTGATCATGAGATGTGAGTTTTGTAGAATTCATTGGAATTCAAAATCATAAACATCTTAATGAATTCAGATGGATGTTGGATTTTGGGTTAGGTTTATTATTAACTTTGTTTGCCCTCACTAAGTGGGATTGGACTGGACTGGACTAGCTGTTAGTCCAATACTGTGTTTGTTTCATGCTGGGACTAACATTAATGAGACTAAAGGGGACTAGCATGGACAAAACCCTTCACTAAGAGGTCTTAGCGAGACCCCCCAATAACCATGGGACTAGCTAAGACTATCCTCTCTCGTCCTCGTCATGCTCAACAACCACTCCCGATAGACTCCTCGTCATCTCCGGTCACCGAGATTATAATAAAATATTAATAATTTATATATTAAATAATATAATATTAGAATTTGTTATTATCCGCTTCTTAGTCCAACACTGCACCAAACGCTTCACTAAGTTAGTCCAGCTTAGTCTAGTCTAAGCCAGTCCAGCTTAGTCCTTGAAGCTAGTCCAGTCCGAGATAGTCCGGCGCAACAAACGTCCCCTGAGGGTATTGAGGTCTATTCCAGTAAAATTTTGGATATATGTGATAGTTTAATAAAAACTGACATTTATGAAATTAGAGTGTAAATTTTGGCCATATATGATAAATTCTCTCACTAAACCCTGATCATTTGTCTATTTCGCACTTCTCCATGAAGGCTAGTCTTGCTTTATATTCATCTCGCACGAGAGTCATAGCGTTATAAAGGAACCCCTAGATAAATGTAATGCCAAATCCGCGACTTCATCTGTTGCTTGCTGCACTTGTATGAGCAATAGTAATAATATGTTCTGACGAATAAAAGGCCACGCAGAAAAATTCTCTAGCAAGTTCACATTCGTCATCGAGTTTATCCATCAAATCATTGTACTTGCGTTCAAAATCATCCATACTCATCTCCATCCCCTTTTGTGGATATACAAAAGCAACTCCGAAAGCAGCTGTGCCTTACATTATTGGTTCAACCATTTTTGTGGGCATTAAGTGCAACAGCCATGAGAGCGCTATAACCCCGATCAAAGATAGTGCTGTCGCGACTAGCTTTTGTTGGAGCCACTGTCATCATACACTCATTCCAGTTCAATGTGCATGTAAGGCCATAAGACTTAACGACCTCTTCTACATTAGTAGCCCTCATTCTCACAGATCAGATCATCATTCTGGAAAACGATAGTGGACCCCTCCAGATGTCTTCGGGCTGATCGTCTATGTCTATTCGACACCCTCGTTTTGACTTTTGAGTAGACTAGGGTTAGGGTTTTTATCTTGCCTATTTTTTTTGGTAATTAACGGGTTAGGGTTTGTATTAGTTAAGGTTTCCATCTTTCCGTTTTTCTTGTAGGCTAATCTGTGGGCTTCTGTTTATTGTTTGAGTTATATTAGGGTCGATGTATGTTTTAGGTTTAAAGTTTCAAAAAATGTTTGTAGGTACTACGATCTAATGGTATTATTCAGTTATAAGTGAGACGACTTAGATTTGATTCCCACCAAATTAAAGTGAATTCGGACTAAATTATTATGGCTAGCTTATTGTGAGGCTTAGTCCACTACCTCAACTGTATGTAAAATGTTTCAAAAAAAGGGTTTAAAAATTGTTTTCTAAAAGGAAAACAAACAAATAGAATTTTAGATTATTTTGGTATAATCACATTGGTTTGCGGATGTGCTTCTCCTAGGCATTTGAGTTTGAATCCTCCATCTTTCCGCAAGTGACAAATGGCATATGAAATAAAACAATTTGAGAATACGTTTGGTGATTTATCCTAAAATGTCTTTCCAAAAACGAAAAATGTTAAAAACTATATTGTAGCAATATTTGAAGATGTGAAAAATTGTAAACAGTACACACGTAAATACTTTTCCGAGAAGTCTTGGGTCAATTTAGATGTAAATACTTGCACAATAGTAAGAACATGATCAATCAATAACATAAGAACATGATCAATCAATAACATTCCCTTACAACTGAATTTCTTTTGTCATCCATCAATGATGCTCTAGAAATCTGTACACATAGATGTGGATTCTTAAGTGCAAACGTATCATATTTAGCAGAGAAAATTATGTCATGCATATTTTTAACAATGTATTCCAAGGCATTCTCCCTCAGTGTTAGGCTGGAACAAACGTCTGCGACCTCTAAAACATCAAGAGCATTGGCTGAGCTCAAAGACTTATGCATATGACGCTCACATAGCTTCTGCAAGTACGAGATTCCATACTTATCAGCTGCAAGGGACAAGGAGTAGATGTGTTTGTTCATCTTCTCTTCTGACAAGTCCCCATGGTACAGAAATTCCAAGAGAGACTCGAGCTCTTCATGGTTCAGTTCGGGCAGTTTTATGGTGTCGTTTGGTGGAGCCTTGCATCCATCTAAGTCTAGAATGTTGTTAAAAATTTCTAATCTTATTGCCTACATACATGACATTAACAACCAAAATGTAAAAGTTAGAATTGGTTTCTCAATACATTCATATGTGGTTAACTGCACCGCGTACGATATATCGATGACATGTTGATAACTATATCGATCACATCTTTACAACTGTAAGTTTAGGGTTGTTAGGAGTACTAAGATCCAATGGTTATGAAATGGACAAGTGTCAAATGAGTATGAAGTTAGTTGAGTTGGTTATGTTGTGACTTAGAGTGTAAGCTACCAAAGGGATATTATAAATAGCTTGTAACAAATCATTGTAACTAATAAGAAAAGAATATTACAGTTGAATAACTGATTTCTCTCTCTAAACTCTAATTCTTCTACTTCTCTCTCTATCTTTCTTTCTTCATTCTTTCTTGTATCTGTATAATCTTCTTCTTCAAGAACCTATGATGGTTTACAACAGTATCAACAATGTCATCAATATTGACCACGTGTCCTCATTTGAAAAATAAGGTTAACCGCCTCGTAAAACAACTTTACATGTACATATTGATAAGTGAATTTTATATTATATATTTAACCCTATTCTTAGTATATTTTGGTTCATATTTTGGAAGAATTTTGATACTTTGAATTATATTTCTAATATAGGACTTTCGATTTCCTCTGAAGCAAAACGTGGTCAAATTGATGAATTTTGGAGTAATTCTAGTTGGAGGACATTCGTGAGTCACTTGGCTTGATTGTATCAAAATATTAGATTTTCACATCAAGCGGTTATTTTCTGGCAATAAAATAAATGAGCGATGTGCAGTGCTGGAATAGTGACGTTTTGGGCTTGAATTGCATTTTTGGAGCCCAATATGACCTCGGATGGGTTTGTAGCCTTCTGGAGATGTGTTCAAAATGTCTTGATCTTCAAAACAAGCTATCATGGGGGGATTTGGAGGATATCTGAGACTAAAACGTGGCTGTACAGTTACCTGGCAGATTCTCCTAGTTTAATTAGAATTTTATTTTCTAAGCTATTTTATTATTATTTAGTTTCCTAGTTGGAATAAGAGACCTATGTCTTAGGGTTTGTGCGATGGCTTAGCAAATATATTGCTCTGCCGTCTACAGTTTTTCTCTACGCTTATTATTATTCAACTTCAGAGACAAAGAACTTTGCTAGGGTTCTTGGAGATTTTCTACTTTAAGGTGCTTTCATTCCGTTTATTCTTTTTCTATGATTGCAATTATGCATATGTGTAACTAATTCCTTTTGCTAGGGCGAAGCCTTGAGCGTTAGCATGAATATGTAATTTTTATTTAATTGCTTATGATTGATTGCATGCACATTTTGACTTATTGATCACTGTTTAAACTATCTAACTATCTTGATGACTGGCCACCATTAGGATGTTTAGACAAGTAATTGGATGCAATTCGGTCGAAATATCATTGGAGGATTGAGTATTGCTTCTTGTGATTGATAATTGTAATTTCATCTAAGGCGAATATCACGCTCTTAGGGGTTGCATGGTTTTTCAAAAGGTTTTCATAGAATTTAATGAGTCTTACATGTTTATATTTGATCTGAATATCATAGACAGATTGCATGGTAGATATACGTTCTTGCTTGAATATCACGAGGAGAATATATATTAGGAAAACCTAACCTTCAAAGTGGCATGTGGAGATCATAAGTAATTGGTAGAAATTCATAGGATTGCTAGGTGATGGTGGAACCCTAGTGCCTTTATAAATTGGTATTTAAAACTCTTTTCTTCGATTATATTAGTTTTTGTTTAAAATTCGTTTTTAATATTACCCAATCTCAAAATCTCTTTTCTCAAGTTTTAATTCTAAGTAGTTGATTAGGAATTGTTTTTTACATAAATTGTTCAAATAGTCCTTGAGGAGAACGAACTTGCATGAGCATCTATACTACCACATCCTTGTATTATTGCAAGTATTTCATGTGATTTTGCCCTTATTTGCATAGATGGTAAAAATCCTATCACATATGTTATTAACTGGTTAATTAATTGATAAACAAAGAGAGAAGGAGATCAGTCACCAATAAGGCTCTATGGGCAGGGACTGGAGGACCATCATCACCAGGTTGCAACAATATGTCGGTGTGGATTTTATCTCTAAGTGCAACAGAAAACCCACTTAGGAGTCTAATCTTCTCATTGAGTTCTTCGGACACTTCGTTCATATTATGTACCCATTTTGATACATTTTCGAGAGTCTGTGGGAGAAAAGAAATTAGCAGCACATCACAAAATGACACTATTCAGATTGCATAACATGTTCTTAACATAATTAAGTTTTGAGCTTAAAGAACTTGGAACACGGTTTTTTTTCTTTCCAAAGTATAACTTGGTTTGTTCTTCGACTATTTGTGATTTTTCTAGTTGAGGTTGCTTGCCTTGGGTAGGATCCTCCTAACCAAGCAGTGTGGGTTGTTGGATTTTCATCCAACGGCTACAAACAAGAGGATTCCTTTAAAGTTATATTAATTATAGCCGTTGAATGAAAATCCAACAGTCCACACTGCTTGGTCAGGAGGATCCTCTCCTTGGGCTCAGGAGAGGATCCAAATCCTATGAAAAGTGATAGATTGAATGCTTTTCGTCTGTATCCATTGATAAACTATAAAGTGCAATATATACAACCCTAGGTCAACTAATTAACTCTACAACAATGGCTAGAAGATCGTATCCCACATTTAGTGGGATTTGACTTAAACCATATTCGGTAAATATATTACAAAATATATTACTATGATATTTCTTAATACTCCCCCTTAAGTTGGAGAATGAATATTATGAAGTCTTAACTTGTTGCACAGTGTCACCAATTGATATTTTCCCAAGGCCTTTGTAAATATAACTGCTAACTAAAAACGTGTATGTAACACCCTGTCCCGAAACATTGATTCCGGATCATTTACTAAAAATTAACCAATTTTCTATACCTAGAAAGTTTGCCCAAAAAGAATTAATCTCGGTTATTTTAAGGCTGCATCTAACTCTCCCGTTAGACTGTCTACAAACCCTTGAACGAGATCAAGCATTTCGTAGTTCACAAATCAATCTCTTACCCGTTTCCAAAATTATTCAAGTGGTGGCATTACTCAGTATTATAACAAGCAATTGAATCATAGAAATTTGGATACCAAGTATGAATTCACAATGTTGATGCACAAAACCGGAGGTCTTGAAACAACGTAAATCCGACCGTGAATCTGCAAGAAATGTAAATAACACAAGATGTATCGTGGTTCACCCCAAGGTTTGGGCTACATCCACACTGATATTTGTATTTCTCTTAGATGTTGAAGAGAGAGAGAACCTTTGTAATGTGAGAAGGGATGTGAGAGGGTGAGGGAGGCTTCAAGCCTAAGAATTGGCCTCTCCTAATTGTAAGGGTAAGGAGTCCTTTTATAGAATAAGGGCTCCTCACTTATTACATATTTGCCCCTTCCTTTATTACATAATTATATTTAAGTCCCTCGAGTATTTGTACGAGATCTAAATACGGAGGCCCTAAGTATGATACAAACAGTAGTCCCCCAAGTCTTCAGTTAAGAGAGTCTTTTGGCTGGAGACTTGAAATTCAGTCCATGTGTGGGCCGAAGTAACTAGATGTCGTCTAGAACTGATACTCGATATGAGGCGATGCCCAATCTGAAACGATGCTCAACTAGAAGCACATGTTGCGAGGATGTTCTGTTTGTGGCTTATGTTACCTTGGTTGTATCGGCTTGTGGCGTTGAAGGTGAGGGAGTCCCTTTTATAGAATAAGGGCTCGCTCCTCAATACATAAGTGATGGGTTAGAGTTGATGCTCGTTGCGAGGCGGTTGCTCAGTAGGCGGTGATGCTCTCTAATGATGGTGATGAGTCATTTTTATAGAATAAGGGCTCTCTCCTCAATACATAAGTAATGGGTTAGGAGTGATGCTCGCGACGATGCGATTGCTCAGCTGGCGGCGTTGCTCTAAAATGAAGGTGAGGGAGTCCCTTTTATAAAATAAGGGCTCGCTCCTCAATACATGAATAATAGGTGCTCTCTAATGAAAGTGAGTGAGTATCTTTTATAGAATAAGGGCTCGCTCCTCAATACATAAGTGATGGGCTAGAGTCCTCTAAGTATTTTTTTATGAGGTCCAGTTGAGGCCCAATATATGGTATATAATGTAGTCCCCCAAGTCTTCGATCAATAGAGTCTGTTGGCTGGAGACTTCAAATTGAATCCATGTATGGGCCGAAGTGGCGGTTGTTCGGAGATGGTATTTATATACCCTGCACTGAAGCTTTGTAGGTGAAGCTTTGCAAGTGAAGCTTTGAAGCTGGAGCTTTTGTAAATGAAGCTTTTGAAGCTAGAGCTTTTGTAAATGAAGATTTTGAAGCTGGAGCTCTGTAAATGAAGCTTTTGAAGCTAGAGCTTTTGTAAATAAAACTTTTGAAGCTAGAGCTCTGTAAGTGAAGCTTTTAAAGCTAGAGCTCTGTAAGTGAAGCTTTTGAAGCTAAAGCTTTTGTAAATGAAGCTTTTGAAGCTAGAGCTCTGTAAATGAAGCTTTCAAAGCTAGAGCTCTGTAAATGAAGCTTTTGAAGCTGATTGACATGAGTGATGCTCATGAATGTTTATGTTGATTGACATGAGTGATGCTCATGGATGTTGACAGTGATGCTCATGAATGTTTATGCATGATTGATATGAGTGATGCTCATGAACGTTTATGTATGATTGACATGAGTAATGCTCATGTATAATTTGAAGTACTGGGCATACTTTTGATCACTTGGTTGGTGATAATAGCGGCAGGCTGCTGAATAATTTTGGAGTACTGGGCGTACTTTTGATCAACTGGTTAGCGATAATAGCGGCGGGCTGCCGAATAATTTGGAGTACTGGGCGTACTTTTGATCACCTGGTTGGCGATAATAGCGGCGGGGTGCCGAATAATTTTTTGTAGTACTGGGCGTACTTTTGGTCACCTGGTTGGTGATAATAGTGGCAGGGTGCCGAATAATTTTTGTAGTAGTGGACTACTTTTGGTCACGTGGTTGGTGCTATTTTGGGCTTATGGGCCTTTACCCTCAATACAACATTCCAGCCCATTTATTTTGGGCTTTGCCCTTTTTTTTGTCTTTTTTTTTACCCTCTGATGAGGTTTATACAAATGTTTCCGAAAAATAAGGAAAATAAATTACATCATTAAAAAATAAATCCGACCCTCTGCTTAATGGGTCACGCCCATAATTCTCTTTTCTGCATGCCATCACTACCGCAATTATGTCTGCTTCTTTTTTTTCTTTCACTTTCTGCTTTTCTTGATGCTTTTCACTTTTGTGGGAGTGGTTGAGTTGTCTGATGGCCTTTCTTTTCTTTTTGTTGGATAAGTGCGACAAAGTATGCTAGCACATGCGAAAAGTTATTCCCTTTGTCCAAATGGGTTGTTGAAGATAACCCATCCTGATTGCAGCACCATAAGCCTGCACCTTGGCAGTATAAGTATGACTTTTTCCATGTGGTCGACAAAAGTAAGTCATCAAGTATATCATGGACCCAGAAGAGTATGTAAACTTATCTTTGCAGATTTGCATGTCTACTTTTTTTTTTTTGAAAAACATGTTTTGGGGAAGTGGTTGATGAAAATGGAGTCCAAGTCCTTGTCGAACAACTCCTTTGGCACCGTCCATTCGAACTCATTGAAACTCAGATCCAAAAATTTCAGTTCCAGCAACTGTTGAAAGACCCGAGGGAACTTTCCAACGAACCGATTGTTGCTCAAATCGAGCTCGAACAGCAGCTTGAGGCGGTTGAACTTGTGAGGAACAGTTCCATAGAACCTGTTGGATTTGATGTGGAGCAATGCGAGATCCGTGATCAGCCCAAGCTCATTCGGCAAGTACCCGGCAATAATCTTCTCCCTGATCATTTCCTTCCCCAACTAGCGCTCGATCATCTCGTTGTGGACGGACCTCGGGTTGTGGAGCGGGTCGGAGACGATGACAGAGCAAACGCTAACGTCTTCGGCGAGCTTGGCTTGCTCAAGGGTGTTAACTTCGACAATGGCGCCGCTAGGAGGAGATCTGGAGATTTGGTTCCTGACTGAAGTTGTACTGCAGCGCGTTTCTAGTTGATTCGCTTACACTTGCATGGTACGGATTGGATATATTTTGGACTTAGAAACCTCGGGACAAAATGTAAAATGGTATTATCGTAATATAGTGGGCGGAGAAGGCCTTCTTTTAAGCATGGCCTGGAGGCTGCCACGCAGCCACGCCTCACGTTCCTCTGAATTGAGAAGTTTCATCAAATTCTAGAATTGGAGGCAGAGAGTAATCAAAAGGCTTATCAAAAAAACATGATGAAAGTTGAGAGAGAGAGAGGGGGCTCTGAGAAGGTTTGAGATTTAGATCTTTTCTGTTTCTGGGTTTTTATGATTTTGTAGATTCACAGTGGAGGTGAAAAATTGAAAGAGAAACCGACGTAATTTTTTGTGTCGTTTCCCACAAACAGCGCCAAATGTTGATGCACAAAACCGGAGGTCTTGGAACAATGTAAATCCGACCGTGAATCTGCAAGAAATGTAAATAACACAAGATGTATCGTGGTTCACCCCAAGGTTTGGGCTACGTCCACACTGATATTTGTATTTCTCTGAAATGTTAAAGAGGGAGAGAACCTCTGTAATGTAAGATGGGATGAGAGGGTGAGGGGGGCTTCAGGCCTAAGAATTGACCTCTCTTAATTGTGAAGGTGAAGAGTCTTTTTATAGAATAAGGGCTCCTCACTTATTACATATTTACCCCTTCCTTTATTACATAATTACATTTAAGTCCCCCGAGTATTATGTGTACGAGATCTAAATACGGAGGCCCAAAGTATGGTACAAATATTGAAATCTACATAAAAAGACAGTATCAGCCATCTGGCCACGCGCCGCAGTACGCGGCGGTTTCCAGCGGATGGAATCCTTAAATTCTGACCACCTCTAAAAATTCTCAAATTTTACAGGCATGTAGATCTAGTAGAGCAAGTTTTATACCTGTGGATAAGTCCAATTTGGCCGGGAAATGCCCCAAATTGGCTAGCACCCGTCGAAAAACCCTAGAATGGGTGAGCTTCAATTCTCCTTCCTCGGTGTTCCAACGCCCCCACAACTGGTTGGGTCTTATCCCTGGTCCAAGGGGAGTTGATTAATGGTGGTGGGTGGTAAAACTAACCGGAACGGTGGGAACGCCGTAAAAACTTCATCGGTCACACACCCGGTTTTACATGGTTTTGGACTTAAAAACCCTTGAATTTGGGTGAATATGGTAGATGGGGGGTTGTGGAAGAGATTGCAGGTGGTGGATGGGTGAAAATTGCCTGAAAAATGGCGGAGATTGGCTGGAATTAAACCGGGTTAAAATCGAGTTGGCCGTGGTTGAGTGGGTCGACGACAATGGAGGAATATTTCTCTCCCCTCTCTTTATTGGTTCCCTCATCTCTCCCCCTTTTCCTGATTGGTCCCTAATTTCTTCCTTAAATCTCATTGGGCCGAAACCATTGGTTCCTTCATTCAACAACACAACCTGATTGGGATTCTTTCCCACAAAGTGGGAGTTCATTTAATTTAATTATAATCTATAGTTTAGTAAAACGATTTCAAACGTCCGTAACTATACCGTTATATTCCGGACTTGCAAACGATTTTCCCTTATGCATTCGTGGTTTTAAGATTTATTCGAAAACATTAATTGTGACTTCAACCTATTGATAAAAGTTTACAACATAAATTCCGCAAACAAAATTTCAAAATTTCTCTATTAAATTTTCATGACCATAAATCAATTTTTCTTCTATTTTCTCCACACATTCATAATTATAATATCAAATTCATATATTTAAATTTTTTTTAGGGTATTACATTAGACCCCCATTAAAATAAATCTTGTCCCCGAGATTTCAATCACTGACTAAGGATAAGGTATTTGAAACCAATCCACAATACCGTTAATATTGAACGAAATCAAAATCTTATTCTATGATTTCATTCATATCCTCACGTGAACCAAACTAACCATATTAATCATATAGCCATAAAATATGCATGCGTCATCAGTTATGGCCACAATATCGAATCCAAACAAAGACAACTCTTGACTTTGGCAACCAAACCAACCAAATTTGTAATTACAAGCTTTCCCCGTCAACTATTTTTCCTCAAACGTAAAAAAATGGGGTCCAAGATCAAGAAAAACATCATACGTGTCACACAACTGGGCAAAAGCTAGGTCACAGTTATTCCTTTCCTTCTTTCACCACTATATATTAAACCAATCATAGCATCGGTTTGTGATTTCATCCTCGTTTGTGAAATCATCATGACTTCATCAATATTAAAATTTTCAACCATAATTATCATTGGTCATAAGATTTTAAAATTTCTAGCCATAATCATCATTGGCAAAATAATGATCTCCACCATTGATTAACGAAAATGGATTAGAACTACTCCCACCATTCCATTTATAGCGAATAAAATCATAACCTCAGTCTCCGAGTTTATCCAAGCTCAAAATAGAGAAATCAACTAATAAATCATCATGATTCTCACCCATATACTCAGATTTCCAGCAACATTTATTGGCAGAATAAATATCATAAATTATAGCCATACACATTGGCAAAAATAAATATCAAACACCAAGCTGCAATCTTCATTGGCTAATAAATACCAGATTATCAATCCACATCTACCATTGGCTAGATATATACTAGCATAATAACCACAATCATTGGCAAGCCACTTACCCTCATTGGCTATACACATCCGTTACCATGATTCTTCATCAAAATTTCTTGCCACACTCACTGACGATATCAAACATTAGAATTTTTTTTCTTCTTTATATTCATCATTAGCAAAACAAATATCATAAATTTTAGCCAAAATCATTGGAATTTCAAATCACAATTACTCACAATTTTCTTTTATCCCAATAAATAACTAGTAGACTGGAAAAGATTGTAATATACCTGGCCAATACACATTACACATATTTATCACTTCAATAACTCATTCTTGCAGCCCACACATGGAGCTTCTCCCCGAAAACATTGGGCATTTGTGCCCATTCAACCATTTCTCCACATTCCATGGGTCATTTCGCCTAAATTCCACATCCACGGCCTGTTTCGCCCCAATTCATCATCCACAGGCTGTTTTCGCCCAATTCAACATCCACGGGCCTTTTCACCCAATTCATCATCCACATGCCATTTTCGCCCAATTCAATATTTCTCAATTGCACAGGTATAATACGACTTTTCCATCTACTTGTCACAATTTCACAATTCCCTTAACATTCAAATTTTTTCAAAATGCATAACCTAATATCAACTCAATTAAAGATTAATCCAAGACTTCAATCAAACACTCATCTTTGAAGCTATAACATGAAATATGATAATTTAAAATTTTTCTACTCCTATTCAATTCGATTCATTCAATTCATTCATGGTGATTCATAATACATGCATTCCCCATAATTTCCTCATTAATCATAGAACTTGTGAAATATTGCAATGTCAATACAATTCACATCCACAACCATCCATAATATCTCACATTGTAAGGTATGATCATTTGCTCTGATACCATTTGTAACACCCCGTTCCGAAACATTGATTCCGGATCATTTATTTTAGAGTAATTACGATGATGGCCAAAATGACTCATGTTTATTTAACTACCCATGTTCACAAGATCTATAACCAAATTTATTTACTAAAAACATAAGGTTAATTTACTAAAAATTAACAACCAATTTTCTATACCTAGAAAGTTTGCCCAAAAGAATTACTCTCGGTTATTTTAAGGCTGCATCTAACTCTCCTGTTAGAACCCTTGAACGAGATCAAGCCTTTTGCAGTGCACAAATCAATCTCTTACCCATTTTCTGAAATTATTCAAGTGGTGGCATTACTCAGTATTATAACAAGCAATTGAACCACAGAAATTTGGATACCAAGTACGAATTCACAATCGAAAAATTTGCGTAAAAAGATAGCGTTGACCCTCTATCCACGCGCCGCCGCACACGGCTGTTTCCGGCGGATGGAATCCCTAAATTCCGACCAACTCTAAAAATTCTCAAATTTTACAGGCATGTAGATCTTAATGAGTAGAGCAAGTTTTATACATGTGGCCAAGTTCAATTTGGCCGGGAAAGGCCCCAAATTGACTTGCACCTGTCAAAAACCCTATAATAGGTGAGCTTCGATTCTCCTTGGTGTTCCAACGCCCCTACAACTAGTTAGGTCTTGTCTTTGGTCCAAGGGGAGTTGATTATGGGTGGTGGTGGGTGGTAAGACTCGACGGAACGGTGGGATCGCTGTCAAAACTCCACCGGTCACACACATGTTTTACACGGTTTTAGACTTAAAAACCCTTAAATTTGGGCGAATATGGTAGATGGGGAGTTTTCGAAGAGATTGCAGGTGGTGAATGGGTGAAAATCGCCTAAAAATGACGAAGATTGGCCGAAATTAAACCGGGTTGGCCGTGGTTGAGCGGGTCGACGAGAGTGGAGGAATGTTTCTCTATCCTCTCTTCATTGGTTCCCTCCTCTCTCCTCCTTTTCCTGATTGGTCCCTGATTTCTTCCTTAAATCTCATTGTGCCGAAACCATTGGTTCCTTCATTCAACAACACAACCTGATTGGGATTCTTTCCCACAAAGTGGGAGTTCATTTAATTTAAATATAATCTATAGTTTAGTAAAACGATTTCAAACGTCCGTAACTATACCGTTATAATCCGGACTTGCAAACGGCTTTCGCTTATGCGTTCGTGGTTTTAAGATTTATTTGGAAATATTAATTGTGACTTCCACTTATCGATAAAATTTTACAGCATAAATTCCGCAAACAAAATTTCAAAATTTCTCTATTACATTTTCATGACCATAAATCAATTTATCTTCGATTTTCTCCACACATTCATAATTATGAATATCAAATTCATATATTTAAATTTGTTAGGGTATTACAGTGTAGGTACATGTGAAGGATTAATCATTCCAGCCAGCTTGCAATTTTTCTCGAACAATGTGACAATCAATTTCAATATGGTTTGTCCGCTCATGAAAAACAAGATTAGCTACAATATATAGGGCAGCTTGATTGTCACAAATAATGGTGTGGAAACTTTTTGCGGAACCTTTAAATCTTGCAATATATAGCATAACCAAGTCAACTCTAAACATGTATTGGCTATAGCTCGATACTCGGCCTCTGTAGATGACTGAGAAACATTGTTTTGTTTCTTGGATTTCCATAAGATAAAAGAATTTCCAAGAAAAATACAATATCCTCTAACTGAAATTCTTATGGCACGAAAACCTCCCCAATCAGTACAAAAAGGCCTTTAACTCAAGATTGTCGGATACAGGGAATAACAAACCTTGACCAGGCGTACCTTTGATGTACTTGAGAATTTGTAAAGCTGCATCCCAATGAGGTTTGCGAGGCTCATGCATGAATTGACTCAATGTGCGAACCGGAAAGACTATGTCAGGCCTAGTGACAGTAAGATAAATTAGTCGTCCGACTAGTGTTCTGTACTTGGTTGGATCATCTAACAATGCCCCGTCAGTGGGAGTGAGTTTCAAATTATGTTCCATCAAAAACTTATCTAGGCATGCACCTGTAAGTCCAGAATCTTGCAAAATATCTAATGCATATTTTCTTTGAGACATGAAAATGCATTTCTTGGAGCGAGAGAATTCAGTGCCTAAAAAATATTTCAAATCACCAAGATCTTTGATACATAAGCGTGTGAGAAGAAATGTTTTGAGTTGTTCCATCTTTTGAAGATCATTTCTTGTAAGAAGTATGTCGTCTATATAGATAAGAACTGCAGTGAATGAAGTACCTTGAGCCTTGGTAAAAAGAGAATAATCAGCTTTTGATTGTTGATAACCAGCTTTCTGAATGGTGATTGAAAAAGTGGAAACCAGTTTTTAGAGGCCTATTTGAGTCCATATAGAGATTTTTTAAGTCGACATACAATGTTATCCCCATGTCGGCGAATACCAGGAGGAGGTTCCATGAAAACTACCTCATGCAAATCACCATGGAGAAAAGCGTTCTGAACGTCCAATTGATGAATGAACCAGTGACGGGCACTAGCAACAGCAAGGAGGCAATGCAGAATGATGAGTTTGGCAGTAGGAGAAAAGGTTTCCTGATAATCGATGCCCTCAATTTGAGTGTATCCTTTAGCAACAAGTCGAGCCTTGTACCGCTCAATTGTGCCATCAGAGTTGTATTTAATTTTATAAACTCATTTGCAAACAATGGGTTTGTGACCTACAGGCAAGGGATCACCATGTATTGTTTTGCTACAAAGCTGTTAATTCTGCATTCATGGCAATGGGATCAAGGATAGCTTGAGCATAAGAAGTGGGTTCAGTGAGGCCTGTAATGTTAGCTAGAAAAGCACAATGGGCAGAAGAAAGCCGCGAATAAGAAATAAACTGAGAAATAGGATATTGAGTACCTGAGAAATGACGAGGCTCTGAGGGAGAGTGACTGACCTGGTTGGTAACGTGATAGTATTTATGCCATAATAGAGGTTGCTTAGGATGGAGAGACTGGCGTGGGAGTGGTGGGGATAGTAACTGGGCTGAGGTAAACGCATCAGGTGGATGAGAGAGGTCTGATGGAGATGTAGATGCGTCAGGTGGACGAGGGCAGTTCAACATGGGAATGTGTGATGGAGTTTCTTGTGGGGAAGGGGAAGTGATGTTTGATGGGAGCATGTCAGGAGAATGAGGAGTAGGTGGTGAGGGCCCTAGGCGAGATAGGTGTAAAGGGGTAAGATTAGGTGGAGGGGACTGTAGTCTATAAGGTTGTGATGGGTAAGATTAGGTGATGGAAGCTGGTTAGAGGAATATATGGGTGCGAGTGGGTTGACAAAGTGGGTGTCAACAAGTCTTGGAGATGGGGCTGTTGGCAATGGGAGAGGCTCGGCATGGTCAGTCAAAATGGGGGGAAGTTGGGATCATAGGTGAGGATGTCATAGAGTGAAAAGGAAAAATGGTCTTAGTAAATTGAACATCACGACTGACAAAAAAAATTTGAGTTTCTAGATCATATAATTTGTAACCCTTTTGACCAGTAGGGTATCCAACAAAGACACAACGTTTAGCACGAGAATCAAATTTTTGTGTAGGGCGAACAACAGTGGCACAACACAAACAACCAAAAACTTTCAAGTGACCAAAAAATGGCGGACGGTTATATAATAACTTAAAGGGGATTTGTTGGATAACAAAAGAAATTGTAATAGGTTAATAAGGTAGACATCAGTGAAGACACAATCGCCCTAAAATGAAAGGGGTACCTAAGATTGGAAACGTAAGCTACGTGCAACAATGATATTGTGACAATGCGTACATTCAACAACGCTATTTTGTTGTGGAGTGTAGATACATGTGCGTTGATATTCAATGCCTTTAGTTTGAAAAAAAAAATCATTTATGGATAAAAATTCAGACCCATTATCAACCCTTATTGCTTTGATTTTTGCATGAAATTGAGTATCAACAAAAGTAATAAACGATTTTAAAAGGTATTGAGTTTGAGATTTATGTTGCATCAAAAAAATCCATGTGTACCTAGTAAAATCATCGACAATGGTGAGAAAAAAATGAGACCCTAAATGCGTAGGAACTTTATAAGGACCCCAAATATCATAGTGCAACAAATCAAATGGTGCATGAGTGGATATAGAACTTAAAGGAAATGGAAGTCTGGTTTGTTTGGCCATGGGACAAATAGTACAATTATTATCAAAAGAAATATTATTTGAAGGCAACGAGGGAAGTGCTAATTTGAGACGAGTTGATGAAGGATGTCCAAGTTGCATATGCCATAAATTTGAGGGATGAGAAATGTGACAGGAGAGAGGTGTCCGTTGCAACAGCGACATGTAATAAAGACCATCATGTTGTTTATCCGATCCAATTATCTTCCCCGTAGCCAAGTCCTACAAGATACAGAAAGTGGGAAACAAAATGGCACAACAATTTAGAGAGTTAGTGACTTGACTAGTTGACATGAGATTTAAGTGAAAGGAGGGAACACATAGAACGTTGTCTAATGCAATATCTAAATTGAATGGTATGATGCTAGTTGAAGTAATTGTGGTCAAAGAGCCTATGGGTAATTTAACGGTGGCAATTAGTGAAGATTTGGTTTTAGTGAAAAGTGAAGAATCTGAAGTGACGTGATTGGTAGCCCCACTATCCAAAATCCAAGGTTGAGTAAATACAGAATTAACGGAGGCAACAATACAGGAAGACAGACCTGCTGAATTTGCATAAACATTGTTATTACTAAATGTATTATTTAAAATTTAAAATTCATTATGGACAAAAAGTGGGCCAATTGATGAAGCTGCTCTGTTGAGAGCCTTTGTAATGGGTTCGGTGGAGGCTGGGACACGTGCTGGTGTGATTTGTTGTCATGGTTGCTGCCTTGCTTCCCCCCATTATTAGGAACCATTGTTCCATTTTTAAATTTGCATCTGTCTTCAGTGTGGCCCCTTTTGTTACAGAAATTGCAGTGATATTTCCGAGTTCTACAGATGTCAACTGTATGTCCGTCTTTATCACAAAATTCACAATGGAGATTCTTGGAATTGTAGGAGCAATGGTTTGGTCGACTTTGAACAGCAGCAGTGATTGAAAAAAATTCGGTCAATCCATATGACATTTGTTGTTGTGTGAGAGATGCGATGGACTTCTAGATTTGATAAATGGTTGGTGTTTCAAGTCTTGTGACTGACATGATGTTTGAGAATACAATCGAAGTTGAAAACGTAAGCAGTCGGGCACCAGGACCTTATGCTCTTACCAGGACCTTATGCTCTGGATACCATGTTAAAATGGTTGAATATTCAAATGGTTAGATTGGAAGGCTATGACAAGTGATAGATTGAATGCTTTTCGTCTGTATCCATTGACAAACTATAAAGTGCAATATATACAAGCCTAGGTCAACTAATTAACCCTACAACAATGGCTAAAAGATCGTCTCCCACATTAAATGGGATTTGACTTAAACCATATTAGGTAAATATATTACCAAATATATTACTATGATATTTCTTAATACTTTCATCCTAATTAGTGGGCCGGAATTGAGAAATAAAGTCCCATGTTAGATGAGGATAAATAAAGCCCAATTGTTTTTCATTTTTTATTCTAATTGCAAACAAACAACGCTGTACATCTTGTATTCGAAAAAATAACAATGCATATTTAAGTACCAGAAAATTATTGTGTAGTATTAGAACACGAGGATGTTGTATAAATAAATATAAACTCATATTATAACACATAAACTAATTATATATTTTATGAACCACAACAATTTCTCAAAAATAGAAAGCTAAATAATATTTTAATTTAAACACATTTCCAAACGAGCCAATACGCACATGTGTGTGTAACTCATTGTAATTATGCCAATGAAGAGAATGAAAAGTTAGAATTCAAAGTGTGGCTAGTATAAAGGACATAGAAAGAGAAAAGTTGGGAACCAGATAGCTTGCCTTACACAGATTAGGTTTTTGATCAGGTGATCCATGAGCAATGTGAAGCTTGTTTATGAAGGAGATAACGCTCCTAGCTCCCTCATAGCATGTCAAACATATTGTATTCCTCGGAGGCCTTAACATAACTGGCATAGAAGTGCAGATGGAGCAGTCCATATCATCCTTTGTGTATCACAAAAACCTTGAGAAAACGCAGGAAAATAAGTAGGGGAAGAAGAATAAGGAGAAGCTGCTGCTTCTTATTCTTTTAAACGTACAAAACTTCAAGGCAAAGGCTTTCCGGTTCCCTTGCTGTAGATTAATATGAACAACCATCCGACCATGATCGCCTCAAGTAGAATATTGCACTATTCGTATTTTGAGTGAATTGACCAAAACTAACCTTGAAAGTTCAAAGGAAGCTCACTTAAAAATGATAAGTTGGAGGGTCTTATGGTTAATTAGGGAAAATTGTGAAGTTGGTAGGCTACTTCTTTTGAGTGCGTTTTAATTTATTTTTAATTTGTTGTCAATTAGTGCATTTAAATTTAAGATGTATAAAGAATAATGCCATGGCAAATGGCAACTGAAGGAATCAGAATGTTTGGAAGAAGAAAAGGACTTTCCAGCCTTACAACCTTACAACAGCAAATATGTGCAAGGCAAAACATGTACCATTAACTACTTTAATTAAAACTAATATACTTGTACAATTAGTCTACATTTCGTTGCTCTAAAAAAATTAAGCTAGCCTGGCTGGTCTGTACACCACGCTCCAAAATGATCGGATCAATCATGATTCAACACCAGCGGAGCCACATTAAGGGCTATCCTGGGCAGTAGCCCAGGGGGATTTTGGTAGAAAATAAAATTTTACATGTAATTTTTATGAATTTTTGAATATAACCTACCTTATATTTAGTCACTTATTTGAATTCTCTTGGTTTAATTATATAATATAGTTTACAAACCATCTCTTTTTCTCACATCTTTTTTCTCATCGCTTCTTGTACATGTACAAGTTTGAATTTGTTTGAATAACGAAAGTTCTTTGGCTCATTTTGTGAAAATTTTCTTGAGCTAGCTGATAAAGGTCGTACCCAGTGCACAAGGCTCCCGCTTTACGCAGGGTCTAGGAGAGGTGAATGTCGGCTAGCCTTACCCCCATTTATGGAGAGGCTGCTCCCAAGTCTCGAACCCGAGACCTACCGCTCATGGGCGAAGGCACTTGTCATCGCACCAAGTGCGACCTCTTCTTGAGCTAGCTGATACTGTAAAAAATATAGTATAAAGTTTCTTTGTTTATAAATTTAAATCTTTAACCTAGCCCACTCGGTGAAAAATTTCTAGCTCTGCCATTGTGATTCATGATCATCTGACGTTGTTAGATTCTTTGAAGGGATTAAAGATTACAGCAGTTTTTAAGGAAGGTTTTTAAACAAGACCACTTTTTTGTACCCAAAACTCGTAATCATCTTCCTAATGAAAATCATTATTTTTTATCATAATAAGGAAAAGAGATTCAAACTTACATGAGAAATACGTCAATAAACCAAGATCTCCTTATATATATGATGTACAATACAACAACTAGTAAAAGGGAAAGGAATTAAAACAGAGAAAATAATGAAACTAAAAAGATAATGTCGAATTATGCAATGGAGCTCTGACTTAGGCAGGTGGTTATTGGAGAAGCATTAGTTTTCTCCATCGTGGTGGGCAGCTGCTTCATGGTCCACATAGTAATGGTAGACTGCTGCACCAGATAGGACAGCCAGGGTCAAGGCCTGTGCGTGCATCCTAGCATGTATAAGCCTAAGGCTTGGCTTGAGGGGTGTTCTTGCTCGTGAATAGGCTAGAGATGCTCCAACTGCCGATGCCCATATTCCTCCTGTAATAATGATAACACAAACCAAAGAGATTAACATTGTTATTATTCCCTTCTAATCTAATTTAAACTAGAGAAGGGGGTTTCGAACTTGGCTGCAGTATTGCAAAGAGAAGCACACTGTTTTAACAAACTTAACTATTAAAACATATTAGAGTTTGTTTGAAATTACTTTTAAAATAAACGCAATCACCAAAAGCGCTTATGATGATATTGTTTTGCAAAAAAATGTTCAAAGTGCTTATGAGTTAAAATATCGTTTGAAGTGTTTTTTGCATGAAGTACATGCATGAAACATTTTAAGTTTTTTTTTTTCTTTTCTTTTTAGAAAGGACTTACAATTTTGTTAAAAACATTAATGTAGGTTCTATTACAAGTGCTTTTACTAAAAGCATTTATGAACAAAGTACATTTTAGAAAAACATTTTTAATCGAGCATTAATATTAAAAGAGAGGGAGATTAGAGTGCTGGGTGTCCTCACCAATGCTTGTAAGCTTGTGTTCTGAAACCCAAGACTGAATTGCCTCCATTTGAATTTCGATTGCTGTTGCTTCTTCGTCTGTGAAAACTGATAAAGTGAAACCTATGAGTGAGTTTATAAGGTGGAATGGAATGAAGTGGAAAGCAAAGGAGGGTTGCTATTTGTACAGATGAAGACGATAAGCAGAGCTTTTGACTTTCAGATTTGGTGTGGCCCCTGGTTTACGTGGTTTTCTCTTTGCTTGGAACACTGGAAGATGTAAACCAAATGCCACACTTACCCCGGTTTTTTTAAATCTTCGGTGGTGTGGTGCATGTCTGCCCTTTTTTATCCACTTTGTGTACTGTACTACTGTTGCCATTTGGACTTCTGCGGTAAAAATCTAGATGCTTAAGAGTCAAAAGTGTCGGATCACTAAAGCATATAACTTTTTCAGCGTGGCGGTTACAGTTTCACGAAATGTTCTAGTATATTTATTTATAATATGAACGTCCGTCTGAAGTGGATTTGGATTTTCGATTAAACAATGTGCTGATATTTCGTGAATTTATGCACATTACATGTATTATAACAACTGTTCTAAAAATTTCCGTTTAGCACCGCCTAAGCCTTTAACTAGGCGCTAGGCAGTTGGATACCACTCCAATTAGTCCTTAGGCGTTTGTTGATTAAGAAAATTCACTTAGATCCACTTAGGTGTCCGTCTAGCCTGCCTAGGTGCCCGCCTAACTTGCCTAAACTCGCCTAGGTCGCAACTCTCACATAGATATAAAATTGGTAATTTTCATTTTGCATTTTATTTTGCCAATACAATGTAAAGAACTTGTTGAATACTTGGATAAACACTCATTATATGCTTGTTCTCTGTGTTTTCAATATGTTCTAATACTTTATAATCCATATGTCATTTTATTTTGTAATTTATGTATCCCAATATATTATGTGATTCTTTAAGTATAAATAGACACTTATTTATACAATATATAATAAATTTATTTAAATTCTCTTAGGCCCTCGCCTAGCCGCCTAAGTGGCTAAGCCCCAACCTGCCGTCTAACTAGTACCTAGCGTCTTTTAGAACCTTGATTATAACAAAAAATAGGCGGCCCCAACTGTCACCCGACTAGCTCCTAACGTCTTTTAGAACCTTGATTATAACAAAAAATAAATTCATAATCTCAATGTATTTGTCTGAATGGAATTTGAATTTTCAATGAAAGGATGTGGTGATATTTTATGAGTCTATGTACATTATACGTATTATATCAGAAATAGATTGATAATCCGAATATAAGATACTCACCTAGAAAACTATCTTAGAATTTGGGAAAATCATAATTTCCGGTTTTGTTTGTTTTGAGTTTGCTCTAACTGCCCATGTTAGAGACAAAAGTATGGAATCTGCTGATAATAAGCACATGTGTGATTATTTAAACCAAAGAAAATGTGAATTTGCCGACGAAACCATCAAGGCCAATGGATTTCATGGAGAAAGTGCAAATCTTTGGGACACGTCCGAATTGTTTATTTTGGCGAAATATTTTCAGATACTAATTAACACCCTTGGAGATATCTCATGTTTTCACCAACCCTCTAAAATTTATAAAATTACCCTAACCCTAAGATTTTAATTAATCAATTATGATTTTCGTTCACTTTTTTTTATATGAATCTCAATCATTTAACCAAAGCCACATGAGCTACACATATGTGTCGCGTCATCACATTAACAAGTTATTTGATAGAATTGAGATAAAAAAAAAGACCACATCGATGTGACATATTTATATTTAAAAACGACATTGATCAATTTTGAATTCAAAGTACTAAAGTGAGGAGTCAAAACAATTTCAAAGACCATTGAAATAAAAATCCCAAAAAACATAAGAGCTTGTTTGGTATTCTATTTGAGTTCAAAGTTTTTAACTCAAAAACTATTTCTCAATTCACAACTCAAAAATTTGATTGGTAAGTCTATTTTGCAAAACTTGAACTAAAAAATAACTCAAAAACTAGCCTCAAATATGAGAACAACAAAAGTACGTTTTTATTGTTTTTTTTTCTTCATTCTTTGCAACATCTGCAGGACCTTGGCGTTGAGGCCAATGACACCAAACATCAACTAAGAGTAACTGGCGGTGATGAGAGACATGTTTCCGGCGTTAAGAGAGATGTTCCGATGACCGTGACATGAATCTTTCCAATGATTGAGATATTTTCTTCCCACCATCCCTGACCCATCGTCCTCTCACTCTAATCACCCGCAAGCCCCAAACTCACCTCCCCACCATTACCAAAGCTTTATTTCAAACTCAATTTGCTCAATTTCAATGGCAATATTTGAAATTAGCAACCCATCTGAAGACAACATGACTTCATAGTATGAATTGTGAAATTGAGATTCCAAATCAAGTCGTTAAGATATTGGGTCTTGGTGATTATTTTTTGGGTCGCTTCTCGGATCTCGACAGACCTTAATATCCTCCCTCAGCCACTACCACCTAATGGTTTTGTACAGACAAGTTTTTGGGTTATATAGCCTAAATCCTTGAAGATTTAAAATAGTTTCCAGGTTAGATACCAAACAAGTTTTTGGGTTGTAAAAAAAACTGTTTTTGAGAGAAGTTCATCCAAGGTGTTTTTAAGAATTATAATTTTTTTTAAGTAGAATATCAAACAGGCCCTAAATATTTCCAAACGTTTGGTTCGGTTTGGTATTGGCTCTACTCGATTTTCGGTTCAAATGACTCAAAAGACACCAACTCAACTCAGCCCAAAGATTTTTCTACAAAAAAAAAAAAAAAAAGGAACTCAGCCCAGTTTTTTAATGGGCCGCAATCCCAACCCAACCTTGATTATGCCCATAACCCGGAACACCGACTTACGAGTTGCGAGTTAACTCGTAACTCGGTAAAGAAAGGACGACGAAACAGAATTTTCCGGCCACTCCAAAAGTAGCTTCCGCCACACTCTTCCGTGCTCGCAACTCACTCACTGAGTCATTCATATATAAAGAAGAAGAAAGAAGAAGCAAATTATGAAGTAGCAGAAAAAAGAAATGGAAGCTGAGCCATCCAGAAGAAGACTGAGAGCCCCAAACCCTCTCTCCGATTGCACCAACACCATTTCCTCCACCACCCTAGCCACTGCCACCTCTTCGCAGTCCTCGTCCGCCTCCACCGTCAAGCTCAAACGCCAGAATCCCAAGCTCGCCTCCGTCACCGGGAACCTCCTCTCCGCTTTAGACCCTAAGCCCTCCGTAGTTCCGCCTCCGATTCCCTCCACTCCTCCTCGCCCTCATCCCGTCTCGTCCTCCGCTTCTGGTAATTTCTCTTCTCCGCTTTCTATTGCGATTTCTGTTTTGTTCTGGTTTTAATTTCAATTTGGGAATCTAGGGTTTCTGGATTTTTCTAGAAGAACAAGAGGTCGCTTGGAATTTGTCCGTTTCGATCCTTAATCGTACCTTGAATCTATTGATATTAGTTGAAATGTGTTGCTCTGTGTTTGCATTTGAGTGCGTATTTTGAATGCTTTGTTTGAATACTTGAATTGAACTTGATGCTATGCTTCAATAGGAAGTTAATTAACTCCTGTGAATATACTTCATCTATGCATTTTCTTTGAAAGATCTGTGTGGATGAGACCTTACGGGTATATTTGGATTTTCGAGTTTAGGTACCAGCGATCGTGAGGCTCTTGAGCCTTGTTCAGTGTATACTCGAAGACATACTGCAGTAAAAGGGGAGGGTAAAGGGAAGGAAAACAACGGATCTTGGAGTTGTCCTACTGCACCAAAGACCCGGAATGCTGGGTAAGTGTCTAATTCCTTGTAGTGCTATGGATTGCGGAAATAAAGGGTGGAAACTATGTCATTGCTTGGAGTTGTGAAAAGTTTAGCTGCCTTGCTATAAGAAGTTGTTCATCAAAAAATTGTAGACTGTCAGTACATGAATATAATACGATATTGATTTTAAGAGTAATGTAATAACATATCACTCTAGTGGTCTGCTGAGGAACTCATAAGTTGCAACACCCTGCGTTTCGTAAATGAGTAAGCTTTAAATACACGATCTATTGCTTCTTAGTGTGACCATATACTCTACCATTCTGATTTTCCCTTTGTCATGCTTCAATTTGATATTCCATGTGTATTGGTATCGTTATAGATTGATGCATATGAGAAATTCTATCTTGAACTCATTTGAGACATGTCATTCCCATGTCGTGTGATGTTTTGCTAATGCTGCTGTATGTCTTCTTCCCATTTGAAACAGGAAAAAAACAAAGGCAAGCGGATGCAACAGTGTGTCCAAGGAATCCATGGCTCCTCACCAAAAGGTTTGTTACATTAACATGGTAACTTTTTTGTAGTCTCGGGTAGAAACTGCTACTTTTTATCTGACTTGGGGTCTGGTTCCTACAATAAATTGATCAGTTCTGTTGTGCTTTCATATCAATCCAAAACAACATTGTGCTATCAGAATTAGAATTTATATATATACCCAAGCCTATCAAACAACATGTTTTTGTATTGACACCCAAAGAGTATGTCTATGGCAAGATTTATTGGTTTTTTACTGTGTGGTTGAGTTGTTTGGGCTACATTTTGAGAGAGAAATTCTCTTTCAGTGTTTTGATTCCGGCAGCAGACTTTTGGAGTTAACTTTTTTTTTTATCATCTATTAGTTTTTATTTCTATGCTAGTAAAAAACAAAAAGGGAGGGGAAATATTCCACTTAATGTTATATGGTCTGTTTATCGTTTCACTTGTTTAAACGATCCTCAAACTTACAAGGGACCTTTAGTTTGTTCTAGGAGGTTTTATGTTTGTTGAAACAGCTAGTTCTTGTTACTTTCCTATCTAGACAGCCTGTGGTCAAATAAGTTAAGTTCCATTTTACCATAAGCTCTGGGTTTATAGTTATTCACTTTAAATTTGTGTGTACAGAAGCAGCGTGCAGTACCAGCTGGGAAAGAGGATTGCGAGAAGCAGAGAGCTTTTTTTGATGAGATTGAACAAAAGAGAAAATATTTCGCAGAGATTGATGCATTTGAACTGTCAGAAGAGGAAGTCGATTCAGTTGATTAGAGTAAATGGAAGAGCTATATAGTGCATCGTATAGAAAGCAAGGGAGCCAAAACCCATGGTGTTCTCTATATAGTCACAAGAGTGTGCAACCGACTAATTCTGATGTAACTACCACCGCTCGCCAATTTACATCGCTGTAAGTTCTTGATAGTTAGAATTCTTTTATCTCTGTGTACAGTCAACTCGAGATGAAGAAGAGAGGAAGGTTAAGCAAGTAAATGAAAGAAAGTATGAGAAAGTGTAAAGGTTCCACGAAAGTGACAATTGGAACCATCACTCGAGGTCCCTGTCGACCCTTTTTTGTAGCGTCTCTTTAACCTACTAAGTTTTGCATCCGATTTGATTTGATTTGATTATGCAAGTGGAAGCATAACTGTTAAATGTGTAGTTTTACATGCATGGCTTTGCATCTTTGCTGTAACAGATGTATGGTGGAGATTGGTTTATGATTGAATGGTTGTAGTTGGATTAGGAAGAGTTTGTTAGAAGGTTAGAGTTAGTTACTTTGTAGGCTAGTGTAAATTGTGAATTTCTCTCAATTTCTGTAATCTGTTCAACTATTAATACAAGATTTGATTTCCTTCTAAACCTTCATCTTTTTCTTCTCTGTAATTTGGATAGTTTCATGCCTCTTCCAATGTAGTTAATACTTTGTTACATGATGATTTTTATATTCTGGTTTTGGAAGGGTCACGGGTTCGAGTTGTGGAAACCATCTCTTTGTAAAGTAAGGGTAAGGCTGCATACGATAGACGTGCCATCTCCAACCCTCATAAGGCAGAGAGCCTTATTGGTTTGAGTTGGTCTTGGATGTTGGTGACATACTGACATTATATAATGCACAGACTTGAATGGTGGTGTATCTTTCCAACTTCCCAATTTTTTTTTTTTTTTAAATTTTTCAGTGCATGCCCAAAAATTTATAATATTTGAGGCACAGTAGATTTGTAGCTCAAGTAGATTTTGGACTCATAAGTCAGATGTTGAAAATTTAAATGAGTTTGATTTAGACTAAGATCGAAATAAATTTAACCGCAAAATAAGGTTACGAATTTTTTCTTTTATCAGTGCATGCCCTAAACATTTATAATATTTGAGTGCATAGTAGATTTGTAGCGCAAGTAGTTTTTGGACTTAGAAATCATATGTTAAAACTTTAAATGAAAAGTTCGGTTTAGACTAAAATCGGGAATAAATTTAACCGCATAATTAGTATCATGCATGTAACGATCATGGCGAGTATCATCACTAATAATTTTTCACGTAAGACTAGTACAAATTAGCCTTTTTTAACACGTCAATAGTAAAACTATTAAATGAGGGTTAAATATTAAATAAATGTAGTGCTATCCATATACTTATTTTTACTTTTCACACTCTTTTTATAATTTCCGATCATCAAATTGATGAATGGAAGAAGATTAATGGTAAAAAAAAATTAATAAAAGTGTATAAAAGTAAAAATGACTGAATGAATAGTCATTTCCTAAATAAATACAAGGGCGAGGTCATCCAGAGTCGAATATAGTAATAATATAGAACTTAGACCATCTCCAACCGAAAGAGGGTCAAAGGGTTCCCTTTAGCCTTATAGCCTTGCAATAAATTATATTTTAATGAATAATGTCAATCATATTTTATACTATCTTCAACATAAAAGGCCAAAGGGCCATATGCTAAACATAGCCCCTTGACAAAAAATCATCTCTACTTGAGGGGGTCAAAGAGTTATTATTTTAATTGAATTAATATATGGTTAATTAAATTAAATTACCATATTAAAATAAGATTTTCGGACATATTTTGAGTGTCACTTGTCGCCAAATGAATAAGCCTCTGGATTTTTTTATCTTTATATAATCTCAATAATTTTTTGGATAGGATTTCAAGTAACACATATCGCTAACATGAGTAATTCTCCATATTTTTTTATCTTTATGTAATTTCAATAATTTTTCGGATAAGATTTCGAGTGACACGTGTCGCTAAAGTGAAAAGTATGTGAGAAATTGTATACGAATAACTTAAGTATTTATACGAAAAAAAATTAGAAATTTTATTTTAATTCCAACGATAACCTGACGGCAGTATGACGTCAGCTAGCTATTGCTAGCTGGCATCATCCTGATGCCAAGTAGCCGTTGACATTCAAATGGGCTAAGTTGGAGGGTTGATAAAATGTCAAGCTTGACATTCTGGCACTAGAGGGCTGACAAAATGTCAAGCTTGACATTCTGGTGTTGGAGGGTTAGTTGGTTGGCTGGAAATGGCTAGCCTACTGGCCTGATTTAGGGGTTTTGGCCCAATAAGACCAACAAACCTTTTGACCTAGCCTTCAGTTAGAGATAATTTTCGTATCATATTAATCTATTTTTAGCCCTATAACCTTTTTGACAGATCGGTTGAAAATGGCCTTAGAAGGGATTTAAGGCGGGAGAGAAGCACAGAGAGAGCATCTGTGCGAACACCACAAAAGATCATGGAGGAGAAGCTGAGATCAGCCATTGGAATCCCAAAAGACGTGCTCGTGAACAAGGAGCTGGGTCTGATCATGGAAGAACACCGCCAGAAGAGGAAGGACAAAGCCGACATTGCTGATCCCTCGAACCCCCTTTTCATCTGTTCACGGTGGCGGCAGCATTGGCCCTCTATCAAACCCTTCCTCAACGGCGGAGCTATCGGCGTTCTTGCGGGCTCCTGGGCTTCCCTTTACTACTCCAAGAGCTGTATGTATGCTCAGTGTCGCCAGATTCCGATGCTCCACGGTTATACCAAGGTTCCAACTTTTTCCTTTTGTTCGCTTCCTCAGAAAGTTGGAAGCTTTTTTTTTGCGTTTTCTTCTGCAATTTATCTTTATTTGGCAAAAAAAATTAAATTTCCCGAGTTGGGATTTCTATTGTGATGTTGAAATTGAAATGGGTTAGCAGAGATTTATGATTTGTGAGCATTTAAATCATTTTTGTTAACATGCATTTTTATGAATGTTGTTAGATTTCGTTGTTGTTTGCAGATTCTTCCCGGGGCGATTTACATTCATGTGTTGACGGTGAGCCAGCAATTGGGATTGTATGAGTAAGTTTTCTAGAACCCTCAAAGTAAATAAATTTTTTCCTCTCAAAGTAAATTCTTTACTGTTGTTGTAGTTTGTTATTTAATTCAAGAATTTACAAGCTTTGTTGTTTTATGGAGATTGAAGTGTAGATATCTTTTGAGTTTCTCTTGAGCTCATGTAATCCTTTTTTTTCCCGTTGATTTGAGGACTGACTGATGCCATCTGGGATTTCTCTTTATAAATTTTCGTCCAGCTCTTGAGCAATTGATTTTAAGTAGGAAGAGGCATGATGGTAGCATATGCATGTTTTGTTCTGTAATATGATGGATTAATGTTGCATCAACTATTTGGTTTTAGATTCAGAAGTGGACAACTTTGCAAACTTTTGATTGTTTGGCCTTTTTTGCTAGGATTTTGAGAAATAAAGCAATTGCTACCAACAAGGGAATGCCACCCACTCTTTGTCAAGAGGCTGCTTGTGGGTTGGCTGTTGGAGCAACTGGAGCATTGATCAATTTTCCATTATACTCTGGGTATCTTGGGTATAATTGTCATCAATCAACCGAACGATTTCCTATTTACAGATACGTATTTTCATTTGTCCGTACTATGGCAACCCAGAGAGCTTTGTTTCGAGAAATGTGGAATTATGTTGGTCCTTTTCTGAAGAGGAAGATGTGGTTGGACATGGGCATGCTCGCATCATATAATCCAAGCCTTGATTATCTCAGGGAGTCTTGTGGTTTTAGTGAAGCAAAAGCACAATTGGGTAAAAGCTCCCCCTTGCCAATTTTATCTCAGTTCCATCTTTTCCCTTTCTCTCTTGTATTTACGTGTTATGTAATTTTGATTGTGTTCTTTTGTTCAGGTGCAAGTGCTTTGTCAGCATTCTTTGCTGCAGCATGCAGTTTACCCTCAAAACACATTCGCATAGTCAGACAAGAAACTGGATATGCTAGCTCTCTGGATTGTGCCCTTGCAATTCTAAAATCAAGAGGTCCTCTTGGCTTCTTTACTGGATTCCCCACATGTTTTAGCCGTGTTGCACTTCCTATCATGGTACTCTCTCTCTCTCTCTCTCTCTCAAACACAAACACAAGCACAAGCACAAGCACACATCTATTTATTAGTAATGATTATGTTATCATGCTGCCTGATTTTGCAGACTACATGGTTTGTCTTGGAAAAGATTCGGAATCTCGAGATATCAATTGGACTGTAGCAAATCTGGAAGTCTGCGGTGAGATCTCAAGTCAGTTAGGCTAGTCTGCATCAATGGTTGTCCACTCTTGGAATTACATTTAGGATTTCTGCCTACTTAAGCCTCACCATTTGTCTATTTCCTTTTGATTTCATATTTTGTTTCCCCTTTGTTTTGTGAATATGTTGGGGAAATGTTATGCAATACGGATACCATTAACAACGAAACGGTTTGTGACTCTTTCCCTTACTTCGCTTGTAGAATCGAACTGGATTTTAATCCCCTTTCGTCTAATTTAACCAACTTTTGGTTTAGTGGTGTTTCCTCCTCTTTGGTTGGTTTTATGTACAACGATTTTGGAGTTTGGTTTTATATAATAGTTGAAACCCTACCTTGTGTTGTAATCCACCTCCATGTAAAGGTTAAGCCTGCTTGAAGTGCAAGCCATATGATAAATTATTACATTTTGACCAATTCTTCAATTAAATTAATTACGGGTTGCACTCTCCAATTAAATTGTATCTTCTCATGGTTGTTTTCCCCCTTTGTTTTGTGAAAATGTCGTGGGAAATGCCATGCAATAGAGACACCATTAACAACGAAGGGCTTCCATCCGGAACTTCTTTGTGACTTATAACTTCTTTCCCTTACTCCGCTTGTCGAATCAAATTGGATTTTATTTCCCTTCGGTCTTATTTTAACCAGTCGACTATTGGTTTAGTGGTATTTCCTCCTCTGTTTGTTTGAAATGACACACACGTGACCGAAACTCTGTACTAACCAAACAAAACGAATGCCAAAATGAACAAAAAGCATTTTGCCAAAAGAGAGTTTGAGTGACAACTTGTCTCAGAACAAAAGAGAATTTCAGAGACAACTTAGGTATAAGAAAGCAGTGGCCAGGTTCCTTCTTTTCACTTTATGCGAGAGTAGAGTTGGCAGCTGTTGTTGTTCGAAGACCCAGAGCTACACATCAACCTTGCTGTTGTCGTAGAAAAAAAGACTAGTTACACACTTGTATGATTCCATGTTGTAAAATTTTAATTCACTTTTCTGCAATTGGTTCTGATTTCGCCTTGACTTCCTGTAAGAGGATCAATGTTTCCCATTTTGACCATAGCCTTGGCAAAATGCTTGAAGAATACAAAGGTGTTATTTGCATATTTCTTAACCAGTTTATCCGTAGAAGTTCCATTGTAGAGCTCCTGGTCTGAATGAAGAAGTCCCTTTTCTTTCAACAGATTCTTGTAGTACAAGTTATCAAAATGTGTTGGGGTCTGGAGGTCAAGGCTTGCAAGGTTGTTGTCACTTCCGCTCCTCGGGCAACTTCCCTGCAAAGACTTGGCGAAGGCAGCATTGATGGTGGATTCATTGTAGATACGTGAGCGGAATGATGTGCACCTTGCAAGGCCAATAGTATGAGAACCTGAAAGAGCGACCAAGTCCCTTAACGAGAGGCCTTGTGCTGAGAAGCTTGAAATGAGAGCGCTTATGTTGGAAGTTGGTGGAGGAATGGAGGTGTTAGCAGCACTTCTGCTAGCAGTGGTTGAATCTCTTCTTCCCAAACGAACTTTCCATGAAGGACCCCCTAACTGCAAATCCAAGTATTTCCATGTAAAAATAGATGCCAATGAAGAAGATTAATTAAAGTGTTACTTCAAATTTGAGAACTTGGTGGACGAAATTAGGGAAATATGCACAAATGAACTGGTTATAAACTTGAGAGACACTGAAAGGTTTCTTGTCTGTTTAGAGTCTGCTGCATTATATTTTTGGCTAAAAGTTTGTAACCAATTATGCTTGTGCATTTTTTTGAAAGAAATTAAGATAGGTTACTTGCATAAACTACAGAGTCACGGGCAGCCAGAGCTAGAAGATCAGCACAGGAGACCACTCCAGGGCATGCTTTCTCAAGCTTAGCTTTAATTCCATCAACAACTTCAAATCCTCTAATGGAGTTGTTGTTGGGAACTGCTGTTTTCTCACCAACAAAGTTTGAAGTATCGTCTAACAGCACCGACGCATCGCAACCCTGAGATTTAACAAAGAAATTATGCCATCCCCCTTCAGTTAAAGAATGGCTCAATGAGCACATTAAATGATGGTATATACTTACATTTACGAAGCAATCGTGGAAATGCAGACGGAGCAAGGAAGCCCCGACACGGGTTTCATTTTTTATGGCTGCTATAACTTCTTCTTGCACAATGGACAATGCTTTTGGACATTTGGATTTGTAGAAATTTTTAGTGAGCTTGCAATTGGATTCGAGAAATGCACCAGCAAAGACCAAGATAAGCAGGACTAAGTTGTAACTGGAAGCCATGTTACAGTTTTCTCTAGCAGTAGCAGTAGCAGCTAGGTTAGTACAAGAGACACACATATATATATAACCGACATTTTTTCATGCTTAGTAACCACACAAAGTCACCACTCAAGCAAATTAACAAGCCATGTTACAGTTTTCTCTAGCAGTAGCAGTAGCAGCTAGGTTAGTATAAGAGAGACACACATATATAACCGACATTTTTTCATGCCTAGTAACCACACAAAGTCACAACTCAAGCAAATTAACAAGCTTTGATAAGGAGGGAATATTTGGTGTAAAATAACAATCCATAATTGGGTTTAAAGGGACTAAAGGTAAAGCTAGACGGATAGATATTTGCTTTCGCTACTTTTTCTACACACAATTATATACAAGGTTCGTTTTTCCAAATTATTATTCTACCTTTTGGCTTTGTGACTGTACACACGTTCCACTTTAGTCTAATTTATGTCTTTTAGCTCAAGGAAGGGCCCCTGCAGGTTGAAATGTCCATCTTTTGAGAGACCTTTGGTCTTGCGTAGTCTTGTAGAGGTTTCATCACGCACGCTTCAAAGGTTTTTTTGGGAGCGTTGAGCCAAAGTTCAGCACCGCGTGCTAGAAAAACAGTTGTCTTAAATCAATTCTTCACCAACTAGTCTTAAAAAATGTGCAGTTTCATGTCAATTATGTCACCGTCCAAAGTTACACTTCACCTTCCAAAACTGCCTTGTAAGTATTGAGACTTGAGAGTGTGAATCACACATCAAAATAATCAGACTGTATCTTTAATCGTAAATAATGTTAGGTTGAATGTTCACATTTTAATATATATTAAAACAGAATATCCTCGCCTTGACCCAAGGGAACTAAAACTTGTCAAACACTTCAATAACCCAACCCAACTTAAGAAGTACCTCTTTCAGGAGTTCTAGCTTAATGGGTCATGGCATTCCCCTAAACCCGAAGTTCTTTCCTTACTAAAACAGGCCCATAATTACTGGATTTTAACAGAAGTCCATATGCCAAGTGGAAGAGTAGCAGATGAATCCAATGGCTCTGTTCATTGTCCTATTTGAGGCATATTCTTCTGTTTTTCTTTGTTTGCCAGAATTGAAAGGCAGAAGGAGCTTTTTTTTCCCCTTTCTTTTCTCGTTGGGTTTTTCTTTTATGATAGTGCTGCACGATAAAATGTTTCTGCTCACATATACATCATGTCCACTTAAGTTTCTGGTCCTAGAGACTAGAGTCTACGTAGCTAAGCTAGCCGGTATGTCTAGACATCATTTTGGCATTTTCGTCAGCGATTGAATACGTGATAAAGATTCCAAATTCAAGCCAAATTGTCTTTCTCTGATTGCATGCATGCACGCGTCAATATATATGTAAACCCTAACCCTAACTCTATCATTTCGTTTCGACAACTCTCGAACTAAATTGAATGCTTATGAGTTCTTGTTTCACATAAACTTCTGCTGTTTTCGGTATGTCCGTACGTTTTTGTAACTACATGAATATAATGAATGATGGATACAAAAATGGCTGGACGTGCGGCTGTTGCTGTAGGAAGCCAAAGAAGTTCATTGATCTTGTTGTTGTTGTTGTTGTGGGGTCGAACAGCGATGTTGGACCAATTTCAATAGGTTGCCCTATTATTGAGACTACTCTTTGCAATTTGCAAATGCTGCATGCAGCGCCCAACTGGCAGCAGATACATCACTGTCACCCACAAAACTTTGATATATACTTCATATAAATTTAGAGAAACTGGAATACTGTACTGTCTTATATAACTTATATAATATCTTAGCCACTGTATTATGAAGTCATCTTTCAAACTGTTAGAAGTATAAATGGATGGCTAAGATAATGAAGTCATCTTTCAACCGCTTCTTTGTGATTAACGTATTCTTCTTGTACACATTTTATAATTAGATCGTCCATTTAACAATAAATAGGGTTTCTCAAACCCACAAAAAAAAAAAAAAAAAAAAAAACTAAAACTACATTCATGAACCCTCTTCCTCTCTCTTCCTCTCTCCTTTAATTTTAACAACCAAAGTAAAAAATTTCACACATTTTTTGTGTGGGCATATACTAGTATATATTGAGCAAATTGACTGTTTTAATTAGTAACAATTAGCATCCTCATGAACTGACAGCATTTATGACACACATATATCTCAATATTTCCAATTTGATTGATCTGTTGCACATATGATATTTTAATAATGATACTTAAGAAAATAAATAGTTTCGATTATGAAATTTTGTACAATTTAAGTACACTAAAGTGCATGTAGTCTAATATTTTAGTGAAGCGTGTTAAATGTTAATGTAAGTATGTTCCAAAAAGTTAAAAGACCTAGTCGGCTATATGATCTAACATTTGTACTGGATGAGTTGATGAAGGCTCAACATCAATTCACCGCCTTAAATGGTGGGGTTTTAGCCTTTGAGGACGCCAATAGCCTTGTCCCGCATTAAGGTTATAGTCAATAGACATCCAATTGCAAAGACAGGTTCTGGCCACAAATTAAACAAGAAAAGACTTCCATTTGCTTAGGTAGGGGCTCTTGAGAGCTAATAGAATCTAGGGTGTGGCTAGGTTTGATTGTATCTGGTTGGGTTGTCGCTGTTGCTGTTGCTGTTTACCCTCGATGTCATGCAACAGTCAATTTTCACAAAACCCCATTTCACCTTGCAAACTAAAATGCTGTTCTTGTCAAAAGTTCCCTGCTCATAAATCATGCTGAATGAATGGTCCGGATGGCGTTGTTAAGATAAAGTTAACGAAAGAGTAATACGTATATGATGATCATCTGGAGTTGAAAGGAGGAAAAAAGAGATTAAAGCGATGGTCTGTCGCCTTTTGAAGGGATATTTAATAAACTTCTATTTTTTGAATGTCAGTTTCACATATTTAGGCAGCAATTTCCTTTTATAAGAAGACGTGGACTTAATCAAGTTAGAGCAGTGTAGTTTTCTTTCTCTACTCAAATTTGAATATGTAGTTTAGATAAATTTCACACAGAATATCGTTCGTATAAACTAAAATGTAAGAAATGGGTAATGGCATTTAGAGCTGATTTGGTATTGATGTGCTTTGAAAAAAAACTGTTTCTGCTGTGCTGTGAGAATAAGCGGCTGTGAAATAAAGTTATAGAGTATTTGGTAAATTTTTTTGTAAAAATGCTTTTGAAAAAAAAAGTAGTATTATAGTGTTTGGTAAACTTTTATGTAAAACATATGTGAAAAAAAACCGGTTTTTCAAAGCTGAGTTTTTTGCAGCTTCTTGTTTTTAGCTTTTTTTTTCATTCAAAACTGTGAAAAAAAATTAAAGTTGAATGTTTACCAAACACAAAAAAAAACTCCTAGCTTTTTTTTATACCAGCTTTTTTCAGAATCACCTCAATACCAAATCAGACCATAATTTGTGTAGTTGAAGATCGTTAATATTGTGAGGAATAATTATGGGAAATATTACAAAAGTGAGGTACATTGAATGAATATAGCTAACATTACGATCACATATATAACCTCAGACAAGGGTAATACACTATTCAACCAAAGTACTATGAATATGATGGACCACGACATACATGGTGATGCTTTTAATGATGAAGCATATGCAAATATGCAATAATGTGTAGGACATGCAAAACAAAACAATTTTAGATTTGGGTTGGACGATTCAGTTAAAACCTCAATTTCCAGTGCTATTTGGACAGGTAAATTGCCAATACCAATTTGCGATCTGTCTTGGCGTGTTTGATAATCATTTTAGTTTTCAGTTTTAAATTTTTATAGTTATTTTTCTTTTAATTGAAAATTTGTTTGATACTTGTTTTCAAAATTAAAATTGAAATTCAAAATCAAGTTAAATTTTGAAAACTAAAAAATTATTGTTTTTATTTTCATTTTTTAAAAAATAAAAAATAAAAAAATTAATAAAATCATGCATATATAGTACATAGTGTTGCATTATCATTTTGCATTGATCTCAATGCGATGAAAGAATATTATCTCTCATTTCTTGACATCACGATTCCGAAAAGATCGGCACCGACGTCTAAATTCTAACTTAGAAATATTAGTCGGTCAAAATTAGGGTCCTTAAGTATAATTAAGTTGACTAGAATAATGTTTTTCAATTCAGCACTCAAGTTCATATTTTTTTTAATTATAATTTAAATTAATAAGAATGTCGCTCAAATAAAATAAATAAATAAAACATGGGTGCTACCTAATTCATGGCTAGCTATATATACTTACCAATAGTTCAACATAAACCATCGCACAAATACATGACATAACATGCAAGATAAAATCATCATACACATATATTGTCAAGCATTCACATCATCAAAGGCTTGCACCACCAGAAAAAAAAAAAAAGGCTATATATGTTTTCTGCCTGTCGAGGGTTCTAGGAATTGAAGTCATGATCTCAACCATTCGTCAAAAGCAATAATATTTGTCCCATGACAAGAATTCAATGTGATTATATGAGTCAAATGATGCATTGTATACTTTGATGCACATGGAAATTTGGTAGTCGAATCAATTATAATGTACAAGTTATCATGTATGCATCCATATATACGTAACGTCCATGGCTTCTCCGTTTCTGTGGTTAAGCTAAAATTTAACAATATGTTTCTTACGATTGATTATGTGAATTTTACAAAGTAATATTGTTTAAATTTTATATGTGGGGTTGTCACTTAGTACTACGGTATAGTGGTATTCTTCTTCGTTTGTAAATAAGTGATCTTACGTTCGATTCTCACTAAAGTCGATTTGAACCACATTATTATGGCTAGCCTAATGTGAGGCTTATTCCACTCTTACACCTATTTAGTGTAGATAATATTATTGGTTAAAAAAAACAAAAAGTTTATATGTGGGGTTCACATGCAAGATGCAACCATGACCTTATAAAATGGATGGTTGAGATGATATATATAAACAAATGGACTTTTTTTGGTTTTCTTTAAGAAAAAGAAAAATAAAAGAGAAGGGGTACATTTTAAAGAATACAAACGGAAAATGTTTTTGGTTCAACCTAAAAGTGTAAACTAATGTTTGGGATAGAACTCTTCTTTGGAGGTCTGTCAGGCCTTTCTTTTTTATTGTACCTGAATTGGTTGTCTTAGGGGTTTTTCTCTTTAATGAAGTCTTTTTCTATTAAAAAAAAAGTGTAAACTAACCTGTTTTTTTTTTCTTTTGAGCAAACGATTTTATCTACACAAAGGAAGGAGGTAGACTAAGTCTCATAATGGACTAGCAATAATGTGGTTCAAATTCACTTTTGACGAGAATCGAACCTAAAACCTCTC